TCAAGATTAGGGTTTTGAACCGCCAACTTCATCTTGGGAAATCTTCGCCTTCGATGGTCGATTCCCCCTCACCAACAGTGAATCGCGACGCCGGAACGTGGAGAGGATCTATGAAACCCCGCGAGGCATGGCCGATTCGATGGAAGGAGGCTCGGAAAGATTTTAGGGTTCGTGAATCAGAAAGGAGGAAAGGGGTTTTGCTTCTCGTGGTGGGTTCGTGGATCGGAAAGGCTCTCGTCGTTGTCGACGACTAGCGACGCCGATCTGGAGAAGGGGGAGCGTCGTGCTTCGTCGTCGGAGAAGAGGGGTTTTCTCTGGATATCGACTCGGGGAAAGGGAAGGGAAAATGAAAACGATAGAAAGTGACTGAGGCGTAAAACAACGCATTTACCATTTCGACTTTTTTTTTATTCCACGTGGAATTCACTTGTTCGACGATAAAAGCCACGTCGGATGGTCCGTTTGTCCAGTCAGCTCGTTAACTAACACCGTCAAACAATTGGACGGAAGTGGCTATTTCTGGTATTTCTCCAAAAGTGACTATATTTGGCAAAACCGTCAAAGTTTTGGCTATACAGGTGAATTTGGCCTATAAAGTAATAGGTAATAAATATCGTTTGAGTCGAAAAAGATTTAGCATATTTGAGAGTTACTTCCTTCCTATGAAGCCATAAGTAGTAAATGCATTCAGAAAAGGAAACTGAACATGATGGTTCTGTTGGTGAGTACACGACTTGCATAGTTTCTAAAAGCTTTAGGCATAGAGAAAAAATGTAGATTTCTTTTATACCCATGGTCTAATTCCTAATGTTGTTTTCGAAAAATTGTGTGTGCATCAGATGAATGTGAAGGCCATCTCCAATATATTTTCGGACGCACAAACTCAGGTTGTGAAAGGCAATGTAGCTCATTGCTTCCTTCATCATCATCTCTCTCCAAATCTAAGGTAGATAGTCAAGCCACACAAATAGGTAATGAAAATCTTCTATATATTATATTCTTTGTTCCTTATATATTTTTTTAAATCTAGTAGAGAATGGTGAATTGGATATAGAGTTATGGATATTTATGATTTAACATAAATTATATATATTTCCATGTAATATTATAAAAATATTTATTTTATATTCTAGTGGAGGTGTGTTAGTTACGATTTTTGAAAGTATGATAGAATTCTTGGGTTCGATTTTCTTAACGAAGAAATTCATACTTTTTTATCAAAATTTCGGACAGAGATGTGTCAATCGACCCCATTTCTCCCTCACCTAGATCTGTCTCTAACAATCTATAAGTTGGTCGTGTCAGGCCTAATATTTTTGGGACCTCATTGAGTATAGGAACAATGACACACAAAAAATTCCTTCTATAGAAAATCATATAAATAAAATTTAGTTAAAAAATATAAAAATATAAATAAAAATTATCATTTATTACTTTTAGAAGTAATCATAAAATAATAAATGAAATTAATATCATAAATAAAATTATCGAAAGGCATAAAAAAATACGTTGATGCCAAATCACTATAGCTATACTTTCAATTTTCTTCTTCCCGTTACTTTTCTCAAGTCTTCTCAACTCATACTTTCATTTCCGCCCAATTTTGTCCTTTTTCATTCCCCATTTGTATTTTCTTCTTTTTCATTAAGTACACAAGCATGAATATGCACGACACCATTCAAACTGTGCTTGAGGCAAGCCTTTATCATGCTGGCCTAATTACGGTTCAACGCTCTAGTACACGTACAACGATATGATTTAATCTTCATTTTTGTTAAAACCCGTTACATATTTTCAACATTAAATCATTCGGCCAAAGGAGAGTCCATGTAACATCCCGTTCCGGCAAAACCCATATTTCAATCGCTAGAAAGTTTGCGATTTAGAATCGAGCATTTTGCTAATATTTCGGCGAAAATCGGATTATCGATCGATCAGATAAGTATATATATATATATATATATATATATATATATATATATATATATAAAGCAGTCGGGACGCAAAATTCATTTAAATGTCCCCGATCTTTACATTTCCATCTTCGTTCTTTTCCTTTTATTCCGACCGAGAGCAGAGCGAGCGGACAAGTTCAGGGGAGCGACAGAGGAAAATTTGAGAGCTCTATTCTTGAGCATTAGTGATCCAAAAATCCTGTAAGTAATGCCTAATTCATCTATATATCGTGATTTATCGATTTAGAGCTTTAAAACGAGATTTTGGTTCAGGAATTTCTTGAATTCCCGATAAGCTAAATTAGGGTTTCGGAGTATCCGGAAGCCGGATTGAGCCCAAATTTCATATACGAGCTTCCTGCAGCGAGGTAATCAATCCTCTAGTTCTAATCCCTGAATTTCGGCAATTATTTAGGTCGGGGTCCAAATCGCTGAATTTAGCTCCGACCAGGGTTTGATGTGTTTTTATCAAGAATTTGACTCGGAGCCTAGAACTAATATTGACGGGGATACTGCAGGGGATATTAGGACGGTCTCGGATTTTAGTTCGGGGTTCGTTGGTGAAATTGACGTTTTAGTACGGGAAGCTTAAATCGGTGTTTGAACGACCAGAACTGGTGAGGGATTGGCACGGCATACCGGGTTTGTCGTATCACGATAATTATATAATTGACCTAGGTGAACTAGAATGGCATGATTAGGGGTGTATGAACTTTTGTGCTATATGTTGAACCCTGGGTTGTTGTATGATATTATTGACTTGCCCTAATCAATATGAACCTTGTTTATGCTGATGATTGTGTATATGTTGCAAATTGTGGGCTTGACTGTTAATATGCTTTATGATGGTTCGAGAAGGTGATTAGGTATGATTTTTCATGATTGTTGTATTTGGATGCACAAGTGGGAAAATATATATTCCCCGGTGATATTATGATGTTTAAGGAGGATGACTTGCACGAGGGTTTATCCCGAGGAAGTGCAATTATACGACTCCTGATTTACCTATGTTGAGCCAATTATGGCCAGGTCAAGTACATGTGCAAGTAATGAATTATGATTAAGCAATATGAGATATGAATCATGTATAAGGATACCAAATATGAGTGTTGTGGTCTCATGGTCAACTACATAGTAATTAGGGCTCCCTATGCTATTACTCTATTATGATATGTATGATAGTCACACCTCTCATGTGGTGGTGACTGAAGATTTCTTACGAGATATGACCACACCCAGAGCGGTGTCGGGGTATGACTACACCCATAGTGGTGTGGGGTATGTATGACCACATCCGACGGGATGTTGGGGTATGTATGACTACATCCGACGGGATGTGGGGTATGTTTCCCGGGAGAGTTAATAGCATGGGAGTAGCCAGGCGCCTATGATTAAAACATGATAAGATGCATATGCATAAGTCAATGTGGTTGAGTCTTTTGCCTATTGGGATGTCGGATGGCTGAGGTCTGATCCTAGTGCTTGGGCTTATTTGCTAGATGTATGGTAGGGGTATGCTCTGTTATGAACTCACGATGCTATGATTATCTCACTCAGCTATGAGCTGACCCTCTTTTATTCTTTTTCTCTGCTTATGCTATGTGTAAGTAGATCATCATCAACAGCAGTAGATAGGTGTTAGGTGGGAGAGGAGCTAGAGTTGAAGTCAAGATGAGGTATGGTCTTCAACTATTCTGTGCTTGGACGACTACTCGGGATTTTGGCCAGTGATCCACACCTTTTTGTAAAAATATTTTGAGAACGTTTTTCATGTGCATACTAGCTTCTGATGTAGTGTGAGATATCCACAGGTGTGGAAAGTTGATGATATGTGTATATGTTGTGTAACTGTGTAAGTTGTGACGATTATGGTATGTATAAGTATGGTATGTAGTTGTGGAGTATGAAAAGTGTGGCTATGGCTAAGAAAAGCCAATGCCTATGGTTGTGAATATATATGTTTGTGATGAATTATTTTGCAGGATCAGATGGAAGAACTGTTAGCCCATTACGCGAGTAATTCATGTCGAAATTTTATTTGGGTAAATTTTGATAATTAGTGTAACAAGAGTTTTAAATTCCGCTGCAATTGTATGAACAATATGATTAGGCAAAACGTATAGGGTAGGGTGTTACAGTCCAGAACGAAGGAACAAACGATTTTCAAAAGGATTAGTGATTTTCAAAGTAATTTTCCGACTTTCAAAGGTTTACGAATCAACTTATTATTTTTAGGAAAACAATATGTAAACTAAAATATTGGGTGCTGGAAAAGGAACGGTGGAAACTGATAGCTCTGAATGAACAATGGCGACACTATACGAAGAAAACTGAAACTACTTCCCCTGAACGTTTTTTCGCGTCGTTAAATGCTCTTCAAGAAAAGGAAACTGCTACGGACGTTGATGATATGACATTACATTCCCCTTCACAATAATAACAGCACAAAGATTTCCTCACTTCTCGTGGAAACACCCTGCCGCCGGTGCCATGTGCTCCAATTCACACCCCAAGAACTTGGACGACCACAGATGGATAATCAACATCCGGCGATCCCTCGAGGAGCAAGAACACCTGGAAGACATCATCGACCCAGAAGACTCCGACGATGAACTCACCGTTCGAATCTTCAACGTCCCCAAACCCCTCCTGTCCACACATCCTGACTCCTACACCCCTCAGCAAGTCGCCATTGGACCTTACCACCACCACCGCCCGGAGTTGCACGAGGCAGCTCGACACAAGCATTCCTCGGCCAGGAGGCTACAACGACAGCTGCAGCCTCCTGTCAGGTTTGCACACATTGTCGAACGGCTGATAAAACTCGGGGCCAGGATTCGAGACTGCTACCATAAGTACTTGGATTTCAGTGACGAGACCCTGGCCTGGATGATGGCCATCGACGGCTCCCTCTTGCTAGAGCTCCTTCGTGGACCACCTGAAACCCAGGAAAGGCTCACAACTGAAGATCATGATGTCCAGCATCACGGCAGATCGGTAGGATCGATGTTGACTGTTGTGAAATCGGGCCAAAACAGTGGGATGATCAGGGACGTTATGATGCTCGAGAATCAGATTCCGATGATCGTGTTACGTAAGATCCTCGAAGTTCAACACGGGACGCAGGAGCTGGGAGATGAGAAGCTTAGGGCAATGTTGGTTGGTTTTTGCAGGGAGGTTTCACCTTTCAAGATGATGGATGACTTCCACGGGATTGAAGCTTCACGTTCTGCTCATTTGCTTGATTACTTGTACCAGACAATTGTGCCAAATCAGGTACATTCTGGGTCATTTAGCCCAGTTTGAAATTTTGAGGACTGATAGAAAAAATTGATCAAAACTGAAGGATATAAATTGATCAGTTCATTTTAACTTTCAACAGGTAGTAACAGAAGAAACAGCTGATGCAGATCAAATAACGCAAGCAGATGATTCATCAACGGAATGCAACGACAACGAAAGATCAAATCAAGGTCTCCTCACATCAGTTAAGAGACTTACCTCCAAGCTAGACAAAGATCATCTCAAGAGACTTCTGCTATCGAAACCAGTAAAATTCGTTCTCAGATTGCCATTCACAATCCTCACCAATCTCCTCCCTGGTTTTGCCATCCTTAGACACCCCGTCGAGTATTTCATCTTCTCGTCACCACCCCACGACAGCAGACCAGGGCCAAGCAACTCAAACAACAACCTCTATCGACCTCCACTGCTAGAAGAAATCACCATCCCATCAGTTACAGAGCTCGTAAGCTCCGGGGTCCATATTGTCCCAACCGTGAGCAGTATCTCGAGCATTAGCTTCGACAACAAGTCATCGAAGCTGCATCTGCCGATAGTTAGCTTAGATGTTAATACAGAAGTCGTGTTGAGGAACCTGGTGGCATACGAGGCCTCGAATGCATCAGTGGGCCCACTGGTTTTCACACGATACACGGAGCTGATGAATGGGATCATTGACACTGGGGAGGATGTGAAGCTGCTGAGGGAGCGGGGCGTGGTATTGAATCACTTGAAGAGTGATGATGAGGCAGCAGATTTGTGGAATGGGATGAGCAAGTCGATTAGGCTGACCAGAGTGGCTTTTCTAGATGATGTGATTGCAGAAGTGAACTTGTATTATAATGGACGATGGAAGGTGAGGATTGGGAGATTTATGGGGCAATATGTGTTTGCTTCTTGGCAGTCGCTGACACTTTTGGCTGCAGTCTTGATCTTGGTTTTGATGGCATTCCAAGTATTCTGCTCAGTTTATAACTGGTATCGTATTCTTAGCATCAGGAGGGCTACTTCGACAATTCGAAGTTAACTTGCATGTGAAGGTACTGACCATGGCTGCTGTAGCAGCATTGTAGTAGTACTACAAACAGACACGATATCAAGAAACCAGAAAACTCAAAAGCTTGCCCTGCATAGAATCTTCACTTTCAAGTAAAACACTTCTACCCACGCACAGCTTCTTTCCCCTGCGAAGAAGCATTAAGTGCAAGTTGATGTATCGCTGTAATTTCTCTGCAGCATTGCCTCTTTACTGAATGTGGCACCTGAAAGAACGACTGCTGAAGCTGCACTGGTTATATAGTGCCTTACAGAATCTGCATTAAATTCAAATTTACAGGCAATGACAAGCAGAGCACCAAAGAAAATACTCCACAAGAAAACAGTGCTGAAAATCACCGGAAGCACAATATTCATACAGAAAAAAGGGCGTAAAACCTGTTGTTATTCCTTGCGAAGCAACCATTGGTATATGGGGGAAAGGCTTCTTGAGGGATGCAATGTACTGGACTCCACCCAATGCAGAAACAGAATATACCTAATTCAAACGGAATAAAAAGAGTAAGCATTACAGTAAGATGTTCCTTGTATAAAGCATCCAACTTATATATAGAATACATAAAAGGATCACAAACAATTGATACCCATATCAATTTCTCACCACATACAAACACATCAGAGTTTGGAGGATTAGCTCAATCGATTGGTTCACTTGAAAATCAGAGATGTAAGTGTATAATGCTCACCTTCACAATACTAGCACCAGCAGTGTATGCACACACTATCTGCAAAAGCATATGTTACAACTACAATCCCTTATTCAAATGCGGAAACAATAGTTGAATGGAGTCTAATCGAACTAAGCTTCTTACTTCTGTTGGAGTCAATACACCAGGTACACAAAGAACTTCAGTACCTTGAACAACATTCATAACATCCTAACAAAAGCAAAGATTTTTGTCATGAAGAAAGAATTGGAAACAAACTAGGAAGGGATCTTACCCCTAAGAATGCTGCAGGGTATGCCTCAACCAAACGTTCCAAAACATATAAAGTCATTCAATGCACGAAGCACAGAGGTTGGAACTCGATAGAAACACCACACAGAAACAAGAAACTAAAATTAAGCCGGGAAAAAGTTCATACATTAAAGATAGCAGAAAAAAACCTGAAACACATGACACCTCGGGTGGACATTGAATCTTTAGCTGCAAATTGATCAAAAATAGCACCATGAAGATAGTGTACTGTAAAAAGAGCTAAAAACCAAACTAGGCCAATAGGCAATAACCAATCAAAGAATCATCCTTAATCCTAATTTGAGGAGGATTCTGATAGCCAGAATCTTTCTGCTCATAATTATCTTACAGGAAAGATAGATTTAGTTAAGGAGAATCACAACTGAGATGCCGCCATCCATTGCAGCAGAAGCAGCTTCAAATGCAATCTCAGCAGCACTGAAGAAAACAAACCCGAGAAACATAAATTCATAACATGATCAAAGAACCAGGCAGCAAGACAAGTATTGAATGCTGAGGAGAAACAAGAACCCAGTTTGTGAGAAAAAATTAATTACCTGGAGGAGAGAAGTCAAGTGATGATCCCAGAATTATAAATTGCAGATAAGGTCGTTTCTTTTGTGCTGCCAGAAGTCACATTGGAAGAAGAGAGCGGAGCGGAACAGCAGTATAGTCTTGAGAAGGGTATGGATTGTTGCGGCGACGGCGAGGACTTATAAGGAGCCGCCACCGTGACGTTGAGAAGTAGGCGCTTGCTGCAATTTAGAATGGTCATGACTTCCCTATTCTGAATCGCTATTTGCCGCCTATAGTTTTATTAAAATAGTCTATTTTACCCTTCAACACTTTAGAAATCTAACTAAATTGCGAATCCCCGCCGGTATTGTTGGTCTCTTTTTAGTTCCGCAAATCTCGACGATAATTCTCCCTGGCCTTCCTTTTTCCCCCACAATTTTTGGATCTTTCGCGACGATCACTCCACTATCTTCATCTGCTTTCTCGACTCTCAATCTCGAGCACTTCTAATATGATCTAAAGTACCGATGCTTTAAAGTACCGTTTGAAGTTGTACCATAAGTAAATTTGACCAAGTTATACCATAATATAAAAGTACAACTTTAGTTTGTACTATAAAAAGATTTAAAAAAAGGGGTAAATGCCACATTTGATTACTGAGATTACTAAATCGTGTCATGTTTAGTCACTAGAAAAATTTAATATCAGTTTTGGTCACTCGAATTACTGAAACATGTCACATTTAGTCACTCTCCTGTTATCCTCCGTCCAACTCTGGTCGCTCGAATTACTGAAACATGTCACATTTAGTCACTCGAATTATTGAAACGTGTCACATTTAGTCACTCTCCCGTTAGTTTCAGTCCAACTCCATTAATGGAGTTGGACGGAAACTAACGGGATAGTGACTAAATGTGACATATTTCAATAATTCGAGTGACCAAAATTGATATTAAATTTTTCTAATGACTAAACATGACACAATTGATGGAGTTGGACTGAAGTAACAGGATAGTGACGAAATGTGAGATGTTTCAATAATTCGAGTGACCAAAATTGATATTAAATTTTCTAATGACTAAACATGACATAATTTAGTAATCACAGTGACCAAATATAGCATTTACCCAAAAAAAAGTATAGGTGCAACCTAAAATTGTACCATAAGTTGCATGAACTCATCCCTTTGTGTTCACATTTGGTGATTTGGACACTTTCACAGTGATTTCTAAAGCGAGGGTTCCGGATCATGGTCTAGGAGTGCTACATTAGCTTACATCTGACTACATTGTTTGCATTGGCGGAGGCAACATTTCAAACAACCCCTGTACTTTTTCATAATATAAATATATAAGTATTTAATTAAAACTTATTTAATAAATATAATTAAATATATATCTATACAATTCACTCATAGATTAAAAATAACCGATTATACGATCATTATTTTCATAAACAACCACAAAGAGATTTCCTATTATGAAAGAAATGCAAAAACATTCGTCATCTACACTATTAAATAAGTCTCTTTCAATGTATCTCACTAAAATAGCATCAACAAACTGGTCGCCAATATTGACTTTGAAACTTTTTCTTAATATAACTCACGGCTGAAAATGCTCTTTTTACACTTGCAGTTGTAATTCGTAGAAGAATCAAAACTAGTGGAATTGTCGTTGTCGCTTGACAATTTCAGGGTTGTTGGGGAAAAAATCGAATAGGCATAAGGAGAAAAGATATCCGATTAGGTATTTATTGCAATTGGAATTCGTCTATAGTATAATAAATTACTTTTATGTCAATTTATGAACCAGTAATGAATTGTGTTGTAGAGACAAAATACTCTAATACTACCTATAAGTGTTGTGTTTCATCACCAATATAAATATATATGACATATTTTTGTTCCTTCGAAATTTACCCATGTCCCGGGACAAGGCCCAAAGGCCTGCCTCCGTCTATGATTGTTTGATTATCGATTACTTCGAAGTTCTTCAAGATTAGCTCTATATCCTTTTTGGGTCTTTTTTGTTTCGCTCGTTTCATTTTGCTTTTCAAAACTTTCACAAAACTATTAGTTGTAAAACATACTATTTATATCCATAGTACGGTCGCATACGAACTACCACATTTGATTATGTGTGTCTAGCATTTATGTTGTCCGGCCATACCAACTTATCTTTAGGGGTGTACAACCAAACAGCACCAAACCGAGTATAATGCAGACCTTGGTCCACATGAATTTTACAATTACTAAAGAAATGATGGACCGAACCAGATCAAATGGACCGATTACAATGATGGTCCAGTCCTTGGTTCAGAAATGTCTTTCCCTAATGGATAGCGGTTTTCATGAATTTGGTCCGGTCCGACCCGTTGCCCACCGTATTTAAAAAAAACCCACTATTTTATCACATTTTAATTCATTTTCTAATTTCTATTGTCCAGGCTGATTTAATCTTGGCATTTGTCGGAGTCTGTATAGATAAAAAAAAAGCTCGAGTTCGGGTGGACGGTGGTTACGATTTGTCGTTTCTTGTTGCTGATAGAGTAACTGTGTATGTACATACTACATTGTGTGCTATCTATTGATAATAGGAAAGACCCCAAAATCCCCTATTTCGCAGCTGCATTATCAAAATTCCAATGTGTATTTACTCTGAGTCTAAACGAAAGCCTCCTTTTCCTGTTTCTGTTTCGCTTTCTTCCTTTTAGTAGGCAGCATCACTTCATACAGTTTCCCAGGTTCCGTACTGTGAGCTGAAGCTCCCACCACCTTTCTTTAGTGCATACTCAGTAATGACTTGTCTTGCACAAACATCCCAATTCTGCACTATGTCCTCCAACGTCAGTGGATGAAGCAGACTTCTCAGGCACCGGTTCAATCTTGACTTTGCTTTTACAGAAAGATCATCCTCGCCACTGTCCCATTTTCGCATTACAACATAAGAGCAGATAATATCAAAGGAAAGCGGAAGGGAGAAGAGGGCTACAGAGACTAACCCGATATCCACTGGCATAGTTTCCAGGAATACAGGAGAGGAATGAGGATAGTTTGCAGGGACAAGCAATTTCAAGGGCTCAATTGGTTGCTGCAACAGGTGAAGGACCATAAAACACCGAAAGAACATTGCCAAATGTGAAGACACGGACTGTTGGTGCAAATACACTATGAGCAAAAGCGTACCATTGGCGAGATGGAGACTGCATTAAACGAGCACTTCATTATGGTCCTTGCATTACCATCTAGAATAATAGCCACCTTAGTCTCGACTAGCCGCTGATTTATCCCTCTTACTTCTTCTTGAAGAGCTGGATTTATCTGTAACATAATATATGTAAGTTCATATTTCAGAATTAGAGGAGTGAAGTTTCTGCTTGGGAGTTGTCCATGTCCCAGGACAGCTAGGACAATTGAACCTCTTTATAAAATATTCGATAAAAAAAACCCTGAATCTTCATATTTGAAAGCAGGCATGTACCTCAATCCTAGCATTTGATATGCTGGTATCAAATGAGGAACTAGAAACTACGTCACCCCAATGATTCATCCTCATCTCCCCAGGGGCAAGGTCACTCAAGCTGACAATGGACCAAATCTCTTCCACAGCAGCACTTAATGCTTCCCGGGATATCAGCTGAACCTGCAAAATTAAACGAGTTAAGCTTCACCAGGTTCTCCTGCCTTCCATAGAAAAATGACAAGAGAAATGAAAGTAAGATTGACGTTAAAGAAAATTACATACCAAATTAACCAAGTGTCTGAAGGGTTGTTCTGTCACCTTCCTGCCCGAAACAGTAGCAGCAAAAGCATGATGAGCCACTTTGCCTGACTTCTCTAGCTATGAATCAAAGGAAGAAGGTGGTTGTGTAGCAGACTTCACATGTTGATTATGCACAACTGCATTCTGGGGAGCTGGCTTCTGGTGTTGAACCTTTGCTGTCCCAGTACTTCTCTCATTCACAGATTTTTGTGGCTTTTCATTAGGAAAAACCGACTGTTGCTGCCGCTTTGTTTCCTGTTTCGCTTTGACATCCAGCATTCTTTGGCGTTTCTGAACTTTCTTCTCTGGTTTTTTTAGCAGTATTGCTTCCCCTGACTTTTGTAGGCGCCTTGGACGCCCACGCTTGGGAGGAACAGATCCTGAGTGAGAGGTTGTGGTAATACATTGGTCTGGTGTATTCGCGCACATCTGCAGTGAGAAGCCATTATTAACAATTGACCCACAAAAACTACCAGCTGGAGGCTGTACTGATTTTTCATGTCCTGAATCTGGAAAACCCTGTGAGACCTGGAAATGTGGGTGCCGAGCATCTTCTGCTGGAAGCATATTAGAAGAAAAAGATTGCTCTGAATTCAACGACGGAGAAGCTGGCTTTCTTGGGGTTGACTGTTGAAGTACAGAGTAAACCCAATTCTTGACCATTGTCAAATTTTCCATGGATTTATCACTGTTTGGGTGATTTAAAAATTCCAAACAATATGACAGATTTTCCATGGTTTTATGATCAACAGACTTTTGCTGGAAACCCATAAGATAAAAAAGTCAATCAGAAGATTGGGGCTATACGAAGGAGTGAAATTGAAGAAACAAAATTGAGAACTCTATCGAGTAACAGTCTCATCTGTCTGAATACATTTATCGCCATTTGGCACATCCTCGTCACCTCTGCTGATTCGGCTTGCAACTAACCCAAATCAGGACAACATTCATTTCATCAGACCATGAAAAACAGAGAAATGTAAAGAAAGTTTGACATTCTGAAACAAGTGGGTACCTTAAGAAGCGATTCAAGTTGCCAATTGAAAGCCATGGAGCTCGGCATGCCTAGAATACAGTCACAATAATCAAGTACTCCTATTACAAATCCGTCACAGAACCAGGAAAGCAGGGGAACATGAACACATGCACTCCTTCTTCAACATAGTCTTGATTTCAGAACTCTATCAACCAGCAGAAACTGTCTGTGGAATTCCAGTCATAAAACAACAATGTAGCCTCATAGCTTAGCTCAAATGAGCTTTCCATTTCCATGAGCATCTAAAAGGCCCAAATCGCCATAATCTAATTGTAATCAAATTGCAACCGGTTTGCCCTAATGTCACGTCCTAATTCAATGGGACTGGAAGAGCTCAACGCTAACGTTTCTGACCCAAATCGCTATAATCTACGTACCATGCGGTTGAAGTGCTGGCTGTGGCGGTGGCGGTGGCGGCGACTGCTGCTGCTGCCTCGTACGATTTTGGGTATTATGATTAGTGCTAGTGTTGTACTGCGCATAGAACTGATCGAGCAAGCCGCTGCTCATTTCATCGTGCTTTTCTTCCCGCCTCGCCATTGACGAGAATGAGGACGAAGAATATCGTTCAGCCACTGGTGAACAAAAAGCTGGGAACGGCGGCGGACGGAGAAAGTTTCCAAAGCTAAGCTATTCTACAGGCGGCCACGAGAAGAGAAACTTGGAATCGGACTAATGGGTGTTCCAATTAAGAGAGGGAGACGTGATCGGCGACCTAATTCGTTTTGTTTCGTCCGCCGTGTCGCCAGTAGAAAAGAGCGGTGGTCGGAGAACAAGAACGCGCGGGTTCTTGCAAAAATAATCTTTTCTAGTTGATTCCTTGCGAGAGAAGGCGGAGGGGAGAGATGAGACTACGCGCCGCGTCTGTGGCCTGTGGGGATGGAAATGGGGAAATGGGCTCAAGTTGTGCTGTTTAGTTTCGTTTTCGTTGTCTATGATGACAACAAAACCCGAACTCACAAATATTCTATCCGATTCAATCCGGTCAATACAGATAAAATTTGTATTGACGGGATTTGGGTCGGGTTCGGGTTTAAACTCGTACACTGTTTAATACTTTAATGTACCCGATTCATGAATACTCGATCAATGGACACTCACCAACACTATTACGTCACCTTACTCTCTCCAAACTCTACCCTAATTCTAATTTCCCCCGATCTAACTCTCACTACACTTATTCCGTGTGCTTTTATTTAGTGTAATTGTGATTTGTTTGAATTTTCTAGATAGGTGTTTTATGTATGGGAAACTTGATGTTTGAATTTTATTTTGACAGGAACTTGTTATTGTAAAATTTTTACCACAAAAACCCATGGGTACCCATGAACCCGCGAATACCTAGCGGATTGAGTTGGGTTTGAGTTTTCCAAACCCAGTGGGGTTTACCCCGTTTTTTTTTTTTTGTACAGATAAACCCAGGGGTTCGGGTATGGATTTGGAAATACCCGACCCATTGTCATCCCTAATTGCAGCTAGAGCTGCAAATGAGCCAAGCCGCTCGCGAGCAACTCGGCATTCGAAACAGGAAAAAACTCATTCGACACTCGATTCGTTATTTAACAAGCCCCATCGTGAGCCGACTCGTTAGTAAACCAACTAAGTTTGAGCTAGACCATGCTCAGCTTGATAGGCTCGTGAAATAGCTTGACTCGGTGGCTTGTTGAGCTAAATTCACGAACTGACTTGTTTAGAGCTTGTGGAAGGATTAATTACTCTTCTGAACATGAACATTATCTTGTTAATATGGATGTGTATGAAAGTTAGCTGTTATTTTTAGTTTCTAGTGTTATTTTTATCATTTAAGTTCTTATTTTGTACACATTTTTAGGAAGAATGATTTCAAATCGAGCTCATCTTGAGCCGAGCTTGTACTCAGCTTGACAAGCTGTGTTAATGAGCATTTACCGAGCTCTACCGAATCGAGCTCGAACTGGATTATCTTTAATCGAGTCAAGCTCGAGCTAGATGATCAAAATTCAAGTTCGAGAGGAGCTCGAGCTAAAAAATTTACAAACGAGTCGAACTCAAGCTAAGCAAAAACTCGACTCGACTCGTTTGCAGCCCTAATTGCAGCTATCAAAATTAATGAAAACAGGGGCTAAAAAATGTGTTAAGTTGGGTTTTTATTTTCTGTTGTGCAACGGGAGTTGTGACTACTAGGCCCAAATCAAGAAAATTAACAATTAGTAGCTTTCAGACCGATTTATAAAAGTGTTTTACACGGGATTTATCACGGATTTTATTAATTTAGCCCACCTTTCGAGTCCCGTGGGTGACTATTTGTTTTATTCCCCCCCCCCCCCCAAATCAGCCAATCCTAGCGTACCCTTCCCAAAAAATCAAGCCTCCATCTTCTTCCTAGGCGCCCTACCTTTCTTCTCCTCCTCCTCCTCATTCTTCTTCTTCTTCACTCCGCCGAGAAGCTTGCCTCACCTTCTTCCTACTTCTCCTTCACTTTGCCGATAACATATGAGTAAACACTATTTTATATTAGTTCACTTTCAACTTCTTATTTGTAGGTAAATATTATCTTGTGGATTTTGCATTTCAAAATATCTCAGGATTTCTAGCACCATATTGAGGAGCTACAACTAATTTTCAAAAGATGAGACGTAGAAGTGGACCAAAAGGGCGTCTTGAATTATTCAACTTCGGACATTCAAGTCTGCGCAATGTTCTTGAGCGTTACTTTTGAGTATTAAAGGCAGGATTGTTATTGCTTGTTGTGTCTTGCATAATTTCATCAAGATTTATGCTGAAGAAGATGAACTATTTCACAATATGCAAGTTATGAAGATGAAGAAGGTTCATAATTTGGTGTTCACATACCACTTATCGAGTTAAATAGTTGGACTGCTGCATCGCGTGAAATGAATGAGAATCGGGATGCAATTGCATATCAGATGTGGAATGATTATCAAAATAAATTATTTTTGGCAAGGAACGAGATTTATGTACAATATTATTACTTTTGGTGAGACTATGCTTTATATTGAGAATATTTCCATCATTTTCTAGTTTCGATATATTATTAGAAGTAACTAAATGTGTTTCTGTTTTTGGTTGCTAATTTTCATAATTTGTCAGAAATAAGAACTAAACAGGTTTTTTTTCTTTCTATTTCAGTGTTGTTGTGGTTGCAGAAGAATTGTACCAACCCTGCTGCAACCACAACAACAACAAAACTATACTAAACGCGCTCTTAGGGTGCACATCCTTGCATAACTAAATCTAAACCTAGTTTTTATTTAGATCCAGAATATTCAGATTTAAGGGTGGGGAATTAAAAGCATTTTGTTCTATATAGTTTTCTTAATCGGCTCTTATCTTCTTCGTTCTAACTCGGATTTTTTTATTTTTTATTTTTTGTACAGATGGAACGAGTTCGTTGTGCTTTACAAAATGATATCCATTTTCAATATTTTTTGGTAAAAAAATTGCATGCCTCTCGTTACCAACCTCATACCATATGATATCTCCTTCGTTTTTAAGTCATTTTTTAAAATTATTGCACAGAATGAACGAGTACATCATGATCTATTGGATCTATAAATTTTTTGCTGAACAAAATACAGAACCAAAAAATACCACACAATACCACCCTAATATAGGAGGTGGTATCTTGTGGTACACTATGTTGAAAGTCGTAAATGACCGTTAGTATACTCCTAATATATTGTATTCAACCATCCTACAGTCTTGGTATGTTCATAACACCATGGTATGCTTTTCTTAGCATATGGTATGCTCTTATTTTAATACCAATCAATACCAACATGGTTCATGGTATAGACTTGTAAAAAATGTCTCAATTTTTTTGTTCCAAAAATTATTGCACAGAATGAACGAGTACATCATGATCTATTGGATCTACAAATTTTTTGCTGAACAAAATACAGGACCAAAAAATACCACACAATACCACCCTAATATAGGAGGTGGTATCTTGTGGTACAGAATGTTGAAAGTCGTAAATGACCGTTAGTATACTCCTAATATATTGTATTCAACCATCCTACAGTCTTTGTATGTTCATAACACCATGGTACGCTTTTCTTAGCATATGGTATGCTCTTATTTTAATACCAATCAATACCACCATGGTTCATGGTATAGACTGGTAAAAAATGTCTCAATTTTTTTGTTTAAAAAATATATCAAAGTGGATATCATTTTGAAGAGAACAATTAATTTGATTTATCTGAGCAAACAAATTTAAATTCCAACTTCAAATGAGAGAGAAATCGTCTGTTAAATATTAAAGGGGGAAGATTAAAGGCTTTCCTCCTTGATGGCGAGATCTACTCCAAATTACTCTGAAACTACTAAAGAAATAACAAAGCAAGAAACATAATTTGGATTCCAATCTTCCATGACATTAAAAGAATGAGAAAGTACATATTTATAGGCACATAATCCTTCTCCTTGCTCCCTATGGTTAGGCCCCCTTTATCCCTTTTCCTACCCAAATATGTAACCTTCCCCTACAAGGAAACAATAACCAAATCTTAAACAACTAATATATAAAAAAAATCCAAATCCTACTAGAACAATGAAAACAATAAAAAAAGACTAATAATAATATAATATTATAATTACTAAAATAGAAAAGATATGCAAGCCCAGAAAATATCCTAATTGTTACGATGACTCGATTCTCGTAACAGTCTGCCAAATCGGAGATGATGGCAGAAAATGAGGATTGCATGGAAGGGGGATCAGAGAATTTATAAAGGTCCTCTAGTTCAGTACCTGTAAAGAGCAGATATATCGTCTCGGATTACAATGGAGGTGGAATCAGAGATGATGGTAGAATACGAGGAAGAGAAATTTGGGAATCATGACTCCGAAATTTGGGGGAAAGTGTGAAAGAGGAAAGTTATGTCGGGAGTTACAAATTGAAACTCATGATTTCCCAAAATTTCAGTCATAGAACACAAAGGAACGACTGGCGGAGTAAAAGATTAACGACTCGCAGAGAGGGAGGGAGACGGCGGAAGCAATTAATTACCTGAAGTCTTTCTAATCCTGACGAGAAACGTCATTATGCACCTCAATCAATGAACTTCGGATCGGATTTCAACACTTCCAAGAGAGAGGTCGCAGAACGAGGAGGACGATGCATAGGATCATGTGGATTTGATCAGCGATGGAGAAGCTCACCAGAACTTTTTGTTGATTTCACAAACTGACAGAGAGAGGGGTCGAGGAAGACGACGAGAATGTTTATAGGTTTCGTTTTCGATTTATGTTCCTGGGGAGAAAAAATAATAATCAAAGAAATGGACTAATTAAAGAAAATGAAAATTCATTAAGAGAAAAATAAAAAACGAAATCGACCATCCCCTTATTAGTTAGGCGGGTTTGGGTTTCGAGTAAGAAACCAATTCGTATGACAGCCACATTGACCAATTAAAAGTAGTTGCATGCTATCACATTTTTCACTGCGGAACTATTGTCTTGGTCAAACTAATGGTTATACACGCCACCATAGATCGTAACTTCAAGGATATTAAAGTTTGTATCCGAGTTTGTACGAAAAATCAGTGGTATGATATACTATATTCCATCGGTGATTTAACTATGATTTAACGTTTTCATACTGCTAAAAATCATCAATACGATACGCTTTTGCAAACACCGCATAATTTAGAGCATAAAAAGTTAAGCCTGTTAGTTAAGGGCATGATTGAAAAAGTTGGATAGGATTATCAAAGATTCCTAAAAAAAACAGAAAAAAGCTGGATAGGGCCAAAAGTGTGTTTTATTTAATTAAACATGCTAAAGGCTGTCCATATATAGGCCGCCACGTCATCATAAGCCCAACAATTTTTTTCCTGTTATTTCATGATTGGACTGTCACACGTATATGTCTGCAACCGTCGTCACGGTATCACCCTTTTTAATATAATTTTTGCATTTTTTCTGTCAAACATGACGGACGGATATTCCACGGAAACGAAGTTCTGTATTTTAGTGCCTTTCTTTTCTGCAGATCTGAATTCTGAATTTTTTTTTTGCAGCTTACATGAAAATCTTGTTAGATTCAGACCTTGTTTGATCGATAAATGGTTAAAGGAATCATCTATTGATTTGTCGATTTCTCTTTCTAACTGCTGCTGCGACTTGTGAGAGGAGAATTCTCATTTCTTGGCTGTGTATTAGGGTGGTTTATCTCCGTCGGATTTTATGCTTCTAATCTGGCAGCATGAGGAAGAAGCTCGATACCCGCTTCCCGGCTGTAAGTTCTTCTGAGTGGGTTTCAATTCTTCGATCTGAAATTCCGTGTCTGTTTGGTTTGCCGTGGAAAAGATTGTAGTTTTGACTTTTTGATCCATTTGTTGGGGTTGCGATGTTTGGCTTGCCCATTTCTGGGTTTTTTGTCTTCATTTCGTGGTTTAATTTGGTTTTCGGCTACTGGGTTGTTAGGGATTGGGAGGAAATGAGGGAAAGCAACTGACTTGAAAAAATGAAGAGGGAGAAGATTGAGATGATTTGTGACTAATTTGAATTCCTGCATAGTTTGCCTACCTTGAATAATTGATGATTAGAATTTTACCTGGTTCTGTACTCTTGCTCTGCTTACAGCTTTTCTGGGAAGTGTAAATTTTGATTGATTGATTATTCTTGTCTTGGTACATGCTAGTAGGGGTTAACTGCTTTTCTATGTATCTGTCTGTTTTTCTTTTCCGAGTTTTCTTAGGTTGTCTTGTTCATTGATGGGCTTTCTGTGGTTATTAATTGCATATACTTGTTCAGAATGGGAAATAGATGGGATGATTTAGGGCTTTGTAAGTGAAACAGTTGTTTGATGTGCTATTCGATTCAAAACTAGAGAACTGAATTGTGGTGGTGAATTTAAGGTTTCTATTGACCTTTGCCACTAGCTTTTATAGCGAAGTTTGTAATCTCTAACTTTTGTTTTTGCTGTTTACCTACGGTAACAGAAGACTGTCTCTTATGGGAAGTTTAAGCTCATCGTGTCTGCTATGGTTTGCTTACACATAGCTTGTGTGTTGTAAAGCTCATTGATGAGTCGAACTTGGTCATGTTTCCCCCATAATGGTATGGGAAAATGTTCCAGTCCCATTAGCACATATGTGCTAGCAAAACCAGTAGATTCATCTGTCAGAGTACTTATTCTGATTTATAGCTTGAGTAGCTTGGAAAATTCCTCTCAGTACGTTGAACCTGTGTCTAGCCCAATTAGGTTTTGTTCCTTCAGCTTCACAAGAGCAGTTTCGTTTCCTGTTATACCAAAAGCAATTCCCATTTGATACCTCTCTCAGATTTCATGCTATTCTAGGTCATATCTTGCATCTTTTGCTGCCACTCGTGCTCTCTTAACTGGTGCATTTAGAACTTCTCTCATTACAAATGACTCTCGACCATCTTTCGTTCGACCATACTTTTGCTGTCACTCTTGCTCGCTTAGCTGGCAGCATTAAGTAGATTAGTAGTGGGTCATTCTGGATTTGACATCAACATCTATTTACAGCGATTTCTGGGCTCTATTTTCTGATGCTTTATTGTGACAGCTTCAATTGTTCTTCCTTAATGCTGGTGTTGTATGCTTGTGAATTAAGACAACGCAGCAGTTGAATTTCTTGAAGCTTTTGCACTTACTCAGATTTGGATTACCTCATTTGGCTTTACTTGAGTCCTCAAAGATTGATGCTCACTTTGTAAATTTAGTGTGTGTGCAAACATTATTGACTCTCAGTTGTGTTTTTTGGGTATTGTGATCTAAGGGGCGGCTATTGATTTTGACAGGCTCGCATAAAAAAAATAATGCAAGCTGATGAGGATGTTGGCAAGATAGCCCTTGCAGTACCTGTCTTAGTTTGTAAGTAATGAGACATTTGTTCTAGTGGTTTCAAAATTTTGTTCAGCACTTTTAATCCTCATATTCTATGGATGTCTGTGCAGCTAAAGCATTGGAATTATTTTTGCAAGACCTTTGTGATCGAACTTATGAAGTCACCCTTCAAAGAGGAGCAAAGACCATGAGTTCACTCCACCTGTAAGTAACCAGCTTGCTGTTTAATCGGAGGAAGTTTGATGTTTATTTGGCCAAATGAATGGATTGGTGATAGCATGTCATAGCAATCTAATATTTGATCCTCCAGTTATTTATCATCTGACACTCTGGTTTCTTCTGGTAGCCCACTGGCAGTGTTGTTAGTTAGATGACGTAGGAAAAACTCATTTAACTAAGAGGCTACTTTGTGCCTTCTTTTTCTTTTGTCAAAGTTTGCATCTTTGTGAAGATCTTGTTCATAGAAGGTTAACATTATGGTTTCTGCCTCTTTAAAACTTCCTCTCTTGCTTTTGTTTAGCTCAAAGATTCAGTTATCTAAATTTGTACAATATGTCTATTTATCTGTCTTTGATGCAGAAAACATTGTGTCCAGAGCTATAATGTGTTTGATTTTCTGCGAGAAATTGTTAGCAGGGTTCCTGATTATGGCCATGGTCATGGCCACCCTGATGCACCTGCAGATCATAGAATCCTTCATAAGAGGTCAGTAGCTGATAAGTTTTTTCCTGGTTTCTATTATCTTCTCGGATGGGATATTCAGAGCAACGTGTTTGTCAGATGGTTGACTATATGTGTTTCGACAGGAAGCCCATTATGGATGAAGGCAATGAGAGCGATGAAGAATTGAAGAGAAGCAGGATGGTAAGATTGTCAGCTTTAGTGTTCATGGTTTGAATTTTGAACACATTCAGTGCTGGTTCTCTTATCAGTTTTTTCTCACGTCGTACCTGGCCAATATCTCCCTCTACTTCTATCATCCCAAAGCCTTATGGGTCTGTTTTTGTTGCTCTTAGCTTTGCTAGTTTGTGGAAGTGTTTTTGTACTTAATATGTGGATGTTTGTTTGCTTCCATTCTAGCATGATGCGAGCCACACGGGTGTTAGCAGTAGAGGTAGAGGCCGTGGCCGAGGTAGAGGCCGCGGTCGAGGGGCTCGGAACATGGAGAGGGAATCTGCTCATCGTGAGGCCGACTCCGAAGCTGCTTGTACAACTCCACGTGCCAACAACCCAGTTCCTGGAATGATGATAGACGACGTAATGGATTCAAAGGAGATGTTGACAAAAGAGCCTATGGTAGCAATTACGGGTGGTACAGCCGATCAACCTGAACGGAACTTCGATCTTAATGCTGAGGTCAAAGACAATGAAGATGTGAAAGCTGCTGCAGCTGCCACATTAGCAGCTTCTTCGTCAGCCTTGGGTCCTGCACCTGCCGGCCAAACTTCATTCACGGCGCCAGAAACCACCACCCGTGAAGAATATCCAGGTTGGTCTCTTTCAGAGGTGGACAAGATGGCTATTGACCCCTTACAGCTGGCACAGCTGAGCACGAGGATGGATGAGGAGGAAGAAGACTACGATGAAGAAGGATGATCTTATAGTGATGTCCCTTCTCGTTACTTGTTATTGGTCTCGCGTAGTTCTTAGAACCCATCTGCTAACAGGAAAAGCCAATGATATCCCAGTAGGTTCTGTCGACTATCTGAGAAGAAGACAGCAGTTTGTGTAATGTAAGAAAGTCTAATGTTAGGAGCAGCTAGCCATCCATCCAGCATCCAAGATGGCCTTCCTCTGTTAGTATTATTGTGTTCATCTCCTTGGTCGGGAGTCGTAACTGGTCCAGAATCTGTTTGACGGAGGTTAAAGAAGCACAGAATTGGATCGAGAAGAGTATCCTGACCAATTAAATCCAGTTCTTAGATTCTATTTCGCTCCGATACTTTTACACAATGCCATAATAGAAACGCTATATTGCATATATCCCATTACACGTTCACAAGCAAGCCATAAAGCTGTTTGAAGGTTTCTACAAGATCACACTCTTGAATATAAACACATTACACATATATAGTCTGCCCATATATTTACATAGATCAGTGAGTTGGCTCCATATGATTGAGACGGAAAGTGCCTTCAGTGGTCTTATGCACCTCAACCTTCATCTTCTCTTCAGTGGTTCCTCTCTTCACCTTGAGCACCATATGGAATTTTGCAGAATCATCCAGCACCTGCAGCATTCCAAAATCAGCACCCACTCCCTAAGACTTGAAAATGCAGTTGCCGACAGAAGAAAACCGAAGGTACAAATGGGAAGCGGAATGAACAAACAAACCTCGGCCTTGGCGTCGACAACTTCTTGAAGCTCGTAAGGAAACAATGAGTTGGAGCGCTGTTGAATCGCCTTCAGGGCATGATCAGCTGCATCTTGAACCGCGGGGTCATGAGAAGCCACATCCTTCAGCCCAGATCCATGGCATTCTGAAATACGCACTACCAATCAGAGCACGAGTCTGAAAATGAAATCTTTTTCTCTACCCTATGTGTATCACTTCAATACTATCTCAATGATTCCGTAGTCGATGAGAGGGAAACCATCGATCAAACATTTCATGGATTTGGCAAATGGGTTTTTGAAGCTAACCTTTCTTGACACCGAGGTCAGAAGGGGTGAGTTGAGGGGAATCGCCAGCGTGCTTGAACTCCTGCAGTTCCTGGAAGTTCATCCATGGCTTCACCCACACTTTGGCTTCGTAGAGCTTCTTCTTCCCGGCATCAATCGCCTCGATAACCAAGTGATGAAGCGTCCCAGCAACTACTTGCTCTTTCGCTTCCACAACCCTCAGGAACTCCACAACCGCATTCTGATTTCCCACCATCAAACAAAGTGGGGTAAAAAAAAAGAGGAGCGATTTCATTCACCAAACAAAGAAGGCGACGGATAGAAACAAAATAAAAGACGGAAAGAGGTGGATCAATCGTCGGCTCACCTGCTTCTTGTTGTGCTCGTCGACGGCGAACCGGGCGATCCCCTCGATTTCGGCGCTGTTGGCGGAGCCTGCGGGGGAATCGCGGACGCCTCCGAGGATAGGGGTAGCGGCGGCCATCTGATCGTGGTGGTGGTGGTCGGAGATTTGGCAGAGACTGGCAATCGCAGAAGAAGAGGCAGAGATGAGTATGAGAAGCGTGAGAGTGAAGAGTGGGGAAGTGCGGAGATCCATGGAAACCGGTTAGTACTCCTTTTATAGATTTTTCTTCTCTATAAAACGTTAGCGCGTGTTTTTGGAATTTGGATCGACGGAAGGAACGGAGGAAGTAAAACGGAGCCAAGTGCTGCCGCTGCGCGTCTATTTTGTTTTGTTCTGTTCCTTCCTTCCCCCCCGCCTCCCGGTTCCACTACTAAGTTTACTTCGTGGCAGGCAGCAGTGTCGACACGTGTGAAAACGTGGAGATCGGATGGTGTCGCGAGACGTGTGCCTTTTATGGCTTTATTATCCTTTCTTCGCTTAGTGAGTAAGCTTACAGGGTCTATTGTTTTTGTAGTGGGGACCTCGCCAATGGATCGCCTGTAGACGGTACCGACGCTACTCGAGAACTCGACATTGGATATGATATGAGGTGGCCATTGATATCTCATGGGCGGGTTTGTCTAAACCATAGTTGTCATGTCGGTGGCATGTCGGCTGGTTGACCTTAGTTTAACATGTGCCAGTCATGAAATCGGCGTGACACCATCGATATGAGTGACATGATCGACTTACAAATTCTAAATAAAATGACATTGTATTAATTAATAAAAAAGTTAATATTTTATTTGTTTTATGAACTTAATAGTTAAATGTTGATAATATTTGTTGGATTGTAAGTAAATTGTCCGCAAATATGTTTTATATATGATTAAATACATTGGTATTGACCGTTTTTACTTTTTTTTAACCACATGAACCGACACAAACTGGTTATACTACCGGGCGTACCATTCCACTTGCGAAATCGGCACAACGGTATAAACTAAGGGTGTTCAAACGGTTTGGTTACCATGGTAACCGTTTTAACCAGTACTATTTGGATAATTTGGTTTGGTTAATTTGGATAATTGGTTTGGTTTGGTTAAAGTTTTTAGCTTGTTTGGTTTAGGTGGTTTGGTTTGGTTTCAGACACTCCTAACCAGTCAAACCAAATTAACCAGTTAAGTAATTAGTCATATATCTAACATATATTATATACACATACTTAATACTTTGCATAACCACTCAAGAGTTAACGTTCATCCCTTTTAGACTCATAAAATATAAAGCTCAATATTGCTCATATAGTGTATATTTGTATATGTAAAATGTAGACCACAATATATGGACGTCTAATTTAGATAAATTTCATACATTATGATGGATGAAAACTTGAAAAGGTCATTTCCAGCCTATAATAATTGCTAAGAGACTAAGTCAATTTACACAAACACAACAATTCATTAACTCATACCATTGTCATAAATTTTTGTTAGGTGAATACTTCTATACTAATCATAAGATAATTGTCTTAGTTGCATATGTATTTTTGTTAAGGGTCAACTATAACTACGTGTTGATTGTTATGTTTTATTCATTATATAAATTGCGAATTGTTGCATTAACCGAAAAATTTTCATCGTCAATGATAATGTGATTTTATATTGGTTAATCTGGTTAACCAATTAACCAAACCGATTAAACTTTAGTTTGGTTAATTTGGTTGTTGTATTAGTTTGGACGGTTTGGTTATGATATTGTATTCCATGGTTAATGGAATTTAGTCTTATTTGGTTTGATTATAACCATGGTAACCATTTGAACACCCCTATAAACCGGTTTGACAACCTTGATCTAAACTATCCCCATCTAGGGGTAGTAATCGGTTTAACGATATAACCGGTTAATATCGGTATACGGTGGCCAAAAGACAACACTCGGTATTTCGAATTCTATCCGGTTAGTAACTGGCAGTTAGCCGGTAAACCGCATACTGGAAACCACCCTCACGTGTTGCTGGGGTTCGCCGAAGTATATAAGGAGTTTTGGTATGGCAGTGGCCGGTCGGAGGTGGCATTGTGTTGTCTTCGTTTCCACTACGTTCGGGTTGGTTGGTCCAACAACTTTTGAGTTCCATCATCCATAGCGGCTTGCGGTGGGGGAAGGTGGCCATAGGCGGTGTCACGAGATAGGGGTAACATTTGGGGTGAAACAAAAATATCACCCTATAAGTAATATAAGGATGTTTTATTACTACATCACAACTCATAATTTGTTCATGACAAAAAAATTAGTTAATTTATTGGTTTCATTCATGATATTATTATTTGACAACAGTTGTTCATGATGAATTATCTCGAGTAAGGGTGGAAACAAAAGTGCATCACTCATACCAGTCAATATATTTGATTTTCAAACTAGTCTTGATTCTACCAGTAGCAATTATAAGTGTAGAAAGAACATTTTTAGATTGACCTAAATTAAGAACAAGTTTCGTGGGATACATTGAAAGAAACTTATTTAAAAGTGTAGACAATTAATATATTTTGCATTTCTTTCAGAATATGAAGACTCTTCGTGATCGTTTATGCAAACAATAATTGTTAGAAACAAATAATTTGCAGCTTTTTGTTATTTCGTATTATTGTCGGTCTTTGATAATTGGGGGATTATTTGGGGTATTTAGCAATAAGCAAGGAGTCGATTGTTACGTTTTATTAATTGGGTAGGAGTTAGAGAATTGGCGGATTATATAATCTGCAGTAGGGTGTTATTTTGACATTAAGCAATCAATTACAGAAAACCTAAACTAATCTCCCTCTCTCTCCCTCCCCTCCTGCGCCGACCCTTTCTCTCTCTTCTTCTTCCCAAAGCTGCGGCAGCAGCAAGCTTCCCCTTTCCCTTCTATTCTCAATTCCCAATTTCCAATCCCTAGCTCGGTCAATCCCTAATTGGCCTAGCTAATTCCCAAATCCCAAACCCGTTAGAAACTTTGTTTCTAACAATAATTGTATTAGTCAGTTATTTCTTTATCTATAAATAAATTATTATAGATATTATTAGTTTTAATTATATGTATTAAAAATATATTTATATTCTGAAAAGAAGATCGGGTAGTTTCAAATCCTACATCCGTCACTGACGATAGCGGTTGTAGCTCCAACGACGGTTGTGTCTTTGGGAAGCTTGAGCAGCTAGGGTAGAGAGCATTTCTCATGTTTGTGCTTTTGGGTTTTGGACCTATTGGGTATCCAACCGATTTGTTGGGGCTTTGGCTTTTCTTTCCACAAGTCCAATTCATTAGTTGTATAGCTTCACCCCCTTTTACGCTCTTTTTTAGGATAAAAATCAGCAGGTCTACTTTTAGTTTGAAAGATGATAGTTATTGTCAAATAATCAAAAGAACATCGAGATTTTCACGTGGTTTCCTTGAAACTCAGGACTAATCCACAGGAGGGTTGTGATCTCCATCACCATCAATAATTCACTATCAAAATGGCTTGCCTTTACAATCACATAACAACCACATATATATAGTTTCAGCTTACTAACCCTAACCATGCAGGACATACACCTATAAAATATTTACATTATGGTACCTATACTTTATTATTTTCAACACCCTTTCTTATATTGATAATAATGAGTGCATAACATCAATTTGGATTATACATCAATTTGGATTATACGTATCAATGTCTACTGGATGTCACCATCTTGGTTATTACATTAGCCGTCTGATCCCTCATTAGAAAGATAGCCAACCTGGAAACTCCTTCAGCCACTAGCTGCCTGATATAATGAACGTCAACCTCGATATGTTTCATCTAATCATGCAAAACTAGATTGAGTGTGATCTGTATCGTACTAGTATTATCCTCATACACATGCATCGGCACACGACATTTGAAGTCCAACTCACCGACATAACCAAACCAACTCGGAGTTGGCCTCTCACATCAAGCGGTACTTCGCTTTAGTGGAGGACTTCAAAACTCTCTCCTAGTTCTTGCACCTCTATGATATAAAGGACTGATCAACTCTTTTACACCACCTAGACGTCGACTTCCTGTGTATCCTTACATCCTGCATAATCGGCATCTCCGAATGCTTCAATTATCGGTTCTCCTTGGGAACAATAGAATAACCCCAACTCTTGCGTTTCTTTCAAGCATTGCAACAGTTTGTGTACCTCTGCTATATATATCATGCGGGATGTTCTCAAGTATTGACTAACCAGTAACCACCTGAACCGTATAAGAAATGTATGGTCTCTGTGTGTAAGATAGATCAAACTACCCACCAAGCTCCCTATAAAAGCGATTGATCTTCCAGTAAGTCTCCACTATCCTGACACAGCTTCAAGTTCTGCTCCATATGTGTAGAACACGGAGTGCAGTTCTCAACTGTGAGGATTTCATCAAATCCAATATATACTTTCTTTGAGATACAAACAAACCAGACATCGATCTATGTGCCTCTGAGCCGAGAAAGTATGAAACTCTGCTAGATCTTGTAAGTTGAAGAACCGTCGCAGAGCCTCGATAATCTCATGAACTCCATTCGAATCACTACCAGTAACAATCATGTCATCGATATAGATTAGTAAGATCACAATTTCATTCATAGTAGACCGATCAAATATAGATCGGTCATTTTGGGTCTGCACGAACCCTACCTGTAGGATCGTCCCAAGAAATTTCTCAAACCATGCCCTAGGAGCTTGCTTCAACCCATACAACGACTTCACCAGTCGACACACTATAGTTGGGCACCCTTCTCATAGCCCGATGGTCATTCCAAGTAAATCGTTTCCTTACGGTCACCAACAAGAAAAGTATTATTCACATCCAGTTGACGTAGAGACCAGACCTTCATAGCCGCAACTACCATCACACACCGTACAGTCTGCATCTTCACAACGAAAGCGAAGGTTTCCTCATAATCAATCTCATACACTCCTATCGAAAAACCTTACTCTAAGCTTTATACCTTTCTAGTGTACCATCTGGTTGCATTTCAATCGTGTACACCCACATGCTCTCAATAACGGACATCTCAGAATCTCGAGGCACGAGATTCTATGTGTGGTTTGCATCCAATGCACTTTTCTCCTCGCTCATAGCCATCTCCCAGGTAGGATCACTCTACATAAGTATTGGGATTTGGGAATGACAATGGATTCTGCAGAAAGGCCAACATAGTCATTCATTCGTAGTGGAGGCTGGCCAAGAGTGGCCCTTTGTGACCGACAAAGAGGAACCTGCGGGTGAACCACCTGTCGCTGTCTTGCTGAACAACCGGAGTCATGGTCATGGTCAGTCGAGGACCCTGTAGAAGAACTAGTACCAGAACCCATGGTCTGTGCCGAAGAACTCAACTGAGTAGTTTAGCAGGAAGAGGACGCAAACGTGTAGGGTGTTGATGGCCCCTATCCCCGAAATCATTATGCTGAGTGGGACAATAAGCGTAGTCGACACTCCTACAGAATCAAAGTACAGAATCAAAGGAAGGTAATGGTAATGGGGCCAAAAACTCAAGGGCAGTGGAAGAACTCGCCCTTGAATGAGATGAAGAGCAGTACATCTCCATTTCTAGAAACATCACATGATATTTCAATGCTCATGCGCTTTTCTATAGGATCGTATCCTTTATGCTTGTGTCTATGGCTCCCAAACACACGTTTCAATGCCTTCAAAGCGAGTTTTTGTCACTCCAGACTCCTGAGGGAGCAAGACTAAACAAGAACACCACCAAACACCCACAGAGATGAATAGTCGAAGCCTGTAATATGGTGATCTTTGTCCTAGAAAGTAGAAACTACATAATTTGTCGATTAATCAACTGAATCACAATATAATTGCTTCTACCCAGAAACCTATAGGAACACGACAACGAAAGAGAGCGTTCTCGTGAGCTCCTAGATATGGCACTGTTTACGTTCTACCACCCCATTCTGATGAGATACCCCAAGACATGAAGACTACGGAAGTATTCCCGGAGTCTTATATAACACCATCAATTCATTAATAGTAAACTCGCCTCCATAATCAAATCACCTCAACTGTTTTCCCAAACTGTCTCTCAATCATTTGAATAAAGGTTGTGCAAACTATTTATCAGAGAAAATTAACAGGATTCCGAAAGAGGCTAACAGTAAACAAAAGAGAATGTACTCACGTAACGCATTCTTCGGAAGAACGGCATGGATACAATCACCACTCACTCAACCTACAACATCCACGTTCTTTCCCGGATCATCACATGGCTGATGCAAGCAGCAGAATCACGAGAGAGGAAGGCCACGACCATGGAAGTTGGACACAGCCAAATGAAGTCGACAAAGAACAAAAACCAACATTGTGTCAAATTAAGCCCCTCATCCGTGGCCCATGGTGACCATCACTCGATCTCTTACCAGCATCAAGAGTGACCTGAGTCTAGTACCGATCACAAGTTCGTGTTAGGACTATGATGGTGTTCTGGTGGTCCAATTCAGGATCTCCCCTTAATCAGCAATTTCCCCTTCTTCTAACTCTTCAGAGATCATATTGAACCCACCTCCCATATCCATGGACAAATCACCTTCAAAATCAAGAAAGTCATCCGTATTGATCTCTGCAACTATATCTGAATACTTATCTATCAGGCTCTGGTCAAAATCGAAATCCATATCATCAAATATTCCAGGTCGCGTGTCCTTTAAGCAAGAATGTGAATCGGTTGCCAACAACGAATCCTCCTCAGCTGTATTTTCCGTGGCTTTCTGAGGATTATTGCTCTTTGCAGGAAGATCACAAACCTGAGTACCTGCTGAAGGACCATTTTCTATTTCTTCTTCGATGATTTCTTCCTCGCGGAATGCAACACCTTTGGGGATCATCAGTTGATCACCATTACTCACACAAGTCTTAGCTTCCTGCCTACGAGCCATTGGAATGAAGTCTTTTACGACTTCAAAATCATAACTTTGAGAAGGGAGAAGAACATAGATGACAGGGTGCTCCAACACACTTAGATTCCCTAGCTGCTGCTTTAAAGGGGCCTTTATGTCCAACTCCCGAAAAGGCGATTTCCCCTGTAAGTCAAACGAGAGTAGAAGGCATCAGAAAGTCGAGGGAGGCATTGTGATTCTAAAAATGTAACCTTTCTTTCTAAACATATATATACCTTTGGATATTTACGTATGAAGCACTTGAGAGACTCCAAACCCACTTCAGAGAACTGCTTTAACTTATGCTTCCATGGTCCTGGCTTCAGATGCTTCTCAATCTCAGAGCAAACTGAAGTGTTTTCATTTACTCTGTAATGGGAAACAAGCACCGTGGGTTTGCCTATGCATGATAGTTAAGCAACCATGGAAAAGAACAACAAAAGAACTTGAGAGAGTACAAAGGATTCTGCAGGAAAATTCAGTACAGCTTACCCATGGTCAAACAAAACAACTCCAGTTAAGTAAAACCTCCATTCTATGGTCCAGAAGATCGACTTCTTCCTGAAAAATGTCATTCGAAGTAGCCAGAACATTAGTACTCGTTTAGAAACAGAACAGATACATACATACACGCAAAAAGAATCAGCACTCACAAAGTCCTAAATTTTCAGAAAGTTCCATTCTTTGCAAACAGCTGTTACCTCTGGTCATAGCGAGTTTTGTTCTTCTCCCTTCTTGACATTCCACTGGGGAGAAGAAGGAGCGTTGTTCTGCGACTTGAGGCAGCACGCTTAAGGCTTTGAAGGTGAAAGGGCAACCGAAATTGAGAGTAAGCACGTAATTGAGCTCTCATCCTTGGACCTGAATCAACCACTCTCTTCGCTTCCTCGAGAAAGTTATAATCTACGAGCCACGTAGTCAACACATAGGCCTAATCAAAACTTGGCAGAACTTTCCATTCGAAGCTAGCAAATTCAGTTCCTATTGGGAAAAAAGGGTGAAGTGGGAAGAAATGAGTACCAGAGACAAGGGTTTCATCGTCGAACTGGGACATGGGAACGAAAGGGGCGACGTCGCGTTTGCCGGAGCAGCCAGTCCGGTGCTTGTGTGATTTGACGCAAGGGAGGCTGCAGGTCTGTAGAGAGCAGCCGGGGCATTTGTATTTCGCCGCCGTATTTTTGCATTCTACGCATAGTACGACCTTTGTACGCTGAGCTTCTTCGCCAGGATTTTGACCCGGGTTCGGCTCCGTCGGAGGTGGGAGCTCTGGTGATGACTGTTGCTGCCGCGGCTTCTCCATTGGTAGACTTGAAAAAGAGGGAAAGAAACGGAATGAGGGTTGAAGTGGGGATGAATTGAATTGCAGGGTTTTGTCTCGTGAGGAGGGCGGGGGTGACGTGTCATTTAGATTCCACCACCAGGCACAAGAAGTCCAGAACATTACCCCCAAGCAAACGGTGTCGTACGCCTTCACCATTTCCGTGGCCCATGCAACAGCAGTAGCCCAGCGCCAGCAGTTCGGCTGGGGCCAATTGGGCCTTCGTTCTGTTCCGCCTTCAACCCACGTTCGAACTTTAATATTTTTTTTCCCCATTATTATCCTTGCGGATAAAATAGTCAAGGGTGGGGTTTCTCAATCCACGAAAGCCTCTATCAAATTAAAGATGCATAATGTACCCAAAGTCATACAAACCATGAAGTATCCCAGGATAACGAAGGGCAATGCGTGCCACCAAATGGGCAGTCCGATTCCCTTCTCGAGGAATGTAACATAAATTAAGTAATGGAAGATGAGAGATAAGACTATGAACTTCACGCAGAATTGTGCCACCACGAGCATCTGTTATAATACCACCGTTCAACTGTTGAATAACATGTAGTGCATCACTTGTTACCAAAATATTCCGAGACGTCCAACCCCATCGCAACAGCAAGTAGAGCACCTCCCGAATGGCCAGTAATTCAATCAGATATGGGTTGGTAATGGAAGGAAAGCAAGAGAAGCGTCACTCGGGAATGAGTCCCACTAGCTCCTTAATTAGGTTCAAGTTGTAATTCCCTTTAGTTGATTCACTGTTGATTAAACTGCGGAAAATCCGAAAGTAACTAACCAAGCCCTCTTAGACAGACTATCCGACAAGCGACTAGACTTCACCGGGATAGAATGCTAAGACAATTCACATAGAACTCCACTACTCGAAACGAATTCCAGTACAAAGCAGTGAATTGACGGACTCTCGTACAATCAATTCACTCCTATCTATTGAAGAACCTTTAACAACCTAACCAGATTCTATCTATCATAAGTTGAAGCAGAAATCAAGAGAAGTTGATCAGGATTCAATTGACTCAATAAACACACTTCAATCGATTAAAACCAATCAGTATATCATCCTAAAAGTCATTACAAGCAAGATCCCTAACACATGAAACTAGGGTTCTTCATACCCAAGTGAGAGAAAGGTCGACTCCATAGAGAGAGATAGAGAGAGAGAGAGAGAGGGGAAAACATACATAAAAACAGTCATACTCATAAAGATGGGAATAATCTTATATGGGATGTTAATCTTCACTCCTAGAGACGCGATCTAGGCTTCAATTGTGAGAAATCCACTCCAAATAGCTCATATGGTTTGTTCTTCGTCACTTTCTCTCTCTAGAACTCTGTTTTTACTCCAAAAGGTCAAATCCCCTTCATTTGGCTCGAATTTGCCTATTTAACACGGTCGGGAACACAACCGTATTCTGCCCGTGTCCGCCCATGTTTTGATCAGGTCACGTGGAAAACTTAAGCTGGAGGCGGGGAATTACACGATTGCCTCGCAAAACACAGTCGTGACCAATGATTAACACAACCATGTTCTTCTCCGGTCTTGCTCGTGCTTTCCATTCTTCATCAGCCTTCACGATCCAACCCTCGACGTAAAATCCACGGGCGCGACTCTTTGTGGACACGAGCGTGTTCTTGCCCGTACTTTGCTCCTAAGACGAGAACACTCTCGCACTAAAAAGCACGGGTGCACCCCGTGTGAAACACGATCGTGTACTAGGCAAGGGACGACCATGTTCTACTCTAGCTTCGCTGAATGACCTCCAAATCACCCGAAACTCGCGCCTAAACCTTCGTTCAACGGCTAGGACCTGAAATGTGACAAAAAGCACAACCTAGTGTAAAATAGGCCAAGGAAACACAAATTCGAGCCAAAGCGATTAAGAAACAAGGGTGCAAACATGTGCAAATACGAAATTATCGTCAGACTTTCTCTTCCGAGGTCAATCCCACTTGCTAAAACTTGAAACATGCTAAAACATGCACACACCTAACGTAAAATCGAACTCGGGCGATGTAAATGCCTCAAATGTCACAAGAATATGGGGTGAAACACATGTGTAATTAAGCCCGAATCATAATCCCCCACACTTGGACGTTTGCTTGTCCCCAAGCAAACCAATCTCAAACAAGGTAATATTTCAACCTAAACATCATAACCTAGGGACATGTCAAAAGGCACAAAGTGGATGAATCTCAAATGTCTATTTGACACCGACATATGGACAACAACAAGCAAGCCTGTCAACCACCACAAATGGCATTCGAATGCATTAAGAATGTGCAAAACGAAAAGTTCTCACCCTGTTCACAAACCAAAACATATCATGCAATGACGACTCACCAACCACAGTTTTTCATGCATAAAGATCACGTCATAGGAACAAATGAATGAGCAAACTAGGTCCTCACCGGGGTATGATATGAACAAGATAAGATGAATGAATCACTCACTCTCGACCGGTGGAGTTAGGACCATTTTTATGCAAAAGATGTGCATACTCAACACTCACCCCTATCGTTTATTCACCATGACAGTAACCTATAAATGCTAGAGCTCACAAGATGGGTGTCATCACTAGCTTGTCCGGAGGTATTAGACTCGGGCTCAGATGACTGGCTAGGTTTTTCGACATGGGAAAAAAGATTTTTGGGTGGTGGCAAACATAGCATGAGGTTTCACATGTTCAACTTAAAGCCAACACAATGTTCTATGGTTACGACTAGAACCTTCTTCTACAAGCAATGACAGCTAGCATCGGCCAAAAACCACACTTCCCACTACCCCAAACCACAACCAATCATGAACAACATTCAAAGCACACTTTCTTTGCTACACACTTGCTATCCAATCTTTCAAGCACAAAAGTGAATGAGGTAAACAACATGCAGGTATGATTCATGATACTTGTGGGGAGGGCGGGACACATAATTAATTGACAAGCATACCCTCCTTGTAAAAATCAACATTAAGTGTGGTATGTTATGAATATTGCAGAGAGAATTTGTTGCAGAAAATTGAACATAATCTGTATTAATATCTCTGTCAACTAGTATACATGTACAATGAGAGTTTCTAGCTAACCAAATGACCCACGTTCCTTGAGTATAGGAACAGAATTTAAGTGGGGAATAAAATACGTGAGGGAGAAGAAATAAAAAAGAAAATTCTTTTATGATTTTTCTCTAATACGCCCCGCAAGACGAAGGAGCTATCAACGACGCCAATCTTGGATCGAAGCAGATGGAAGCGAGTCGATGGGAGAGGTTTGGTGAGGGCATCGGCGAGCTGATGTGAAGTGGGAACATATTGCACACAGAGGCGACCATCCTGAACCAGTTGGCGAACAAAATGATAGTCTAAGGCCAAGTGCTTCATGCGGGAGTGAAACACTGGGTTGGAGCTGAAGTAAGTGGCACCGAGATTGTCGGAATAGATAGTCAGTGTACTGGGCAGAGGATGGTGTAGCTCAAGGAGGAGGTTTCGAACCCATTCTAACTCAGCAGCGGTATGTGCAATGGCCCTATATTCAGCCTCGGTACTGGAGCGAGCAACACTCCGCTGTTTTTGGGACCTCCAGGAGATGAGGGTGGACCCCAAGTAGATAAGATAGCTGGAGGTGGAGGAGCGATCGTCAAGATTCCCAGCCCAGTCGGAGTCGGCAAACGCCACTATAGGCAAAGAAGTGGTGGTGCGACGTATAGAAAGACCATAGGTAGTAGATCCGGCAATGTAGCAAAGCAGGCGTTTGACACACTGCCAGTGATGCGTAGAGGGGGCATGCATGTATTGGGAGAGCTTATTAACAGAATAAGCAATATCCGGATGAGTGTATACAAGATACTGGAGAGCCCCAATAGCCTGACGATACCGAGTAGCATCACTGGGTGCATTACCATCCTGGAGAGTGAGAGATGTCGTGGCTGCTAATGGCGTATCGGCAGCCTTGGCATCGGTCATCAGGAATCGCTGAAACACATCCACCATGTATTTATGTTGAGAAAGTATATAACCTGTGGGGATGGGAATGACCTCGATACCCAGGAAATAATTGACATCACCGAGTGCCTTGAGCGAGAAGCGACTAGAAAGAGCCACCTGAAATTTATGAAGCACATTTGTATCATTGCCGGTGAGAAGAAGATCATCCACATAGACGAGGAAGTAGAGCAAAGTGGATCCATGAGAGTAGACAAACAAAGATGCGTCAGAGTGGGTCTTCTTGAACCCAAACTCGATGAGAAACGAGCTTAACTCGGTATACCAAGCCCGAGGCGCCTATCGCAGTCCATAGATGGCACGGCGGAGGCGACAGATGTGGTTAGGCCGCTCGGGGTCAATGAAACCTGGTGGTTGAACCATATAAACCTCCTCCTGTAAGGGACCCTGCAGAAACGCATTATTGACATCAAACTGAGCGATAGACCAACCTTGAGAGAGAGTCAAGGTGAAGACGGTCCGAACAGTAACCGGTTTCATGACCGGACTAAATGTGTAAGTGAAATCAAGGCCAGGGCGCTGATTGAACCCCTTCACAACCAGGCGGGTTTTGAACTGCTCAATGGATCCATTAGGATTATACTTGACCCGGAATAACCAGCGATTACCAAGGACATTATAATGAGGAAGCCGAGGGACCAAATCCCAAGTATAATTGGCCAATAAGGCCTGATTTTCAGCCGAGAGAGCATCAGACCACTCCCTATAACATAAAGCTTGTTGCACATTGAGGGGTTGTAAAGGCGGTGGGCCAGCCTGAACAACCGTGTGGAACAGCCGCTTCTTGGGCTTAAAAATCCCATCCTGAGCCCGCGTTCTCATGGGATGTGTGCGCTGAGGTGGTGGAGGCGGGCCAGAAGGGGGCACGGGCCCAGGTGGAGGCGTGACCGGATCCGTGGGGGAAGCTGAAGACGCGGTGGTAGAGGGACCAGGTGGTGATGGATCCTGCGGTGGAGGCGTGAGCGCCGAGGGGGATTGGGCCACAGACGGCCCAGCTGGCAAAGTGAAGGGGGATGGATGGCCTGGAATTGTGGAGATGGTGGGTGATAAATCATGGAGCCAAGACGCCGCCAAAGGAGGTGGAGTGGAGGTGAGTGTCGGAAGCCCTGGAAAGTGAGACTCAACCAAAACCACATGTCGAGACAAATAGATACGTTGGGTGAGAGGATCAAAACCACGATAGGCACTACGTTGAGGGCAATAGCCAAGAAAAAGACACGGTTTTGAGCGAGTATCAAGTTTGTGTGACGAATAAGGGCGAAGCCATGGATAACAGAGACACCAAAAAATGCGGAGTTTATGATAATTAGGTGACATATTGAAGAGAAGAGTGTTGGGAATTTTACCACGTAGAGCGGAGGAGGGCAAGCGATTGATGAGATAAATGGCTGTGGAGAAGGCAAAAGACCAGAAGGCGGTAGGAAGATTAGCATGATAAAGAAGCGTGATACCCGTTTCGACAAGGTGACGATGTTTCCGTTCAGCCATACCATTGTGTTCAGGTGTATGGGGAGGAGTAAGGAGATGAGTTATGCCATTTTGAAGTAAATCCTTACGCAATTTCTGAAATTCACCATCACCATCTGTATAAAGGCGATGAATGGTAGTGGAGAAGTAATTTTCCACCATTTTGCGAAAATCAAGAAAAATTTGGAGAACATCAGATTTGTTGCACAAAGGATAATACCAAGTATAGCGAGTAAAATGGTCAATAATAACCAAATAATAACGATAACCATCAATAGAGGAAACAGGAGTAGGGCCCCAAACGTCAGTATACAAAAGATCAAATGGACGGCTGCTAGATAATGAGGAAACAGAGAAAGGTAGTCTGTGACTTTTATTGGAAAGACAAGCATCACATGGAGAACATCCAAGGGAAGTCGAAACAGGAAGGGAAAAAGACCAAATGAGACTAGCGAGAGAGGAGTGGGAAGGATGACCAAGGCGGGCGTGCCAAGAAGGTGCAGAGGTGCGAGTGGTGACAAGAGCCAGGCGAACGTCCTTCACTTCACTAGGTAATTCATAAACATCACCGTTGTTTTCCCCCCTCAGCAGCTGAGCCCCGTGCGAAGATCCTTCACAACAAAATGAGTAGCAAAAAATTCCACCGAGACCGGATTAGCTTGGGATAATTTAGCTACCGAAATAAGATGCTTCTTAATGGTTGGAACACACAATATATCACGCAAATATAAATTATTGGACCCAAGAGAGAGTGTGGAAGAGCCAATGTGGGAGATTTTCAAACCTGATCCATCAACCACAGTAATTTCATCAGGGCCTGTGTAATCAGAATATAACAAAGGTTAGCCCAAATCAGCTGTAACATGGTGGGAGGCCGCTGAATCCATTAGCCACGGCCCAGAAGAAGAAACAGTAGTGGCATGGGCCTGTGCGGGCCTTGTGGTGGCATGGGCCGGAATGAGTGCATTTGATTGTAGGCCTGGCGAGCCTGGGGGAATAAGCGGAAGCACTGGCGAACTGTATGACCGGGCCGTTCACAGTATTGACACACGACTTGGGCCCGTCGTGCACGTGTGGGTTCGGGGGAAAATAAATGCCGGCCTGGGGAGATGGATTGATGCGGATCAGGCCATAGGCAGAGCCTTGCCCAAACCCATAACCTAATCCCTGCTGTTGGTGGCGAGAAGAAAAGCCGCCGCCGCGAGGAGAGGAAGGGATGACGGGGCTGCCGCTTCCGCTTCCTCCACGGCGAGATTGCCCTGTGTAAAACGCAGTGGGGACCGAGTCGAGCCGAGCCTGGTCTTTCATCGCCGAGCCCGCGAAGGCAATGAACGACGAGATCCAAGTCCGAGACAGGCTCATCAACAAGAGCTAACTCAGCTGCAAACAACTTGAGTTCATTTACATAAGTGAGGACATCTCGATTACCCCTGTTTGTGCTTGCCAATTTGCCTTTCAAGTTAATAATACGAGACTGAGAACGCCTAGCATATAATTTTTCCAGAATCACCCAGGCCTCACATGATGTAACAGCAGCAGATACAAAGGAATATAAGGCTTCTGAGATAGAGCATCTAAGGGCATGTAGAATGAGCTTGTCTTGCCTGAACCATCGATGGAAAGCAGGATTGGCGGCTGAGGTGTTGTTCTCGGTGAGCATTTTGGGAGGAACAACACTGGTGCCATCGATGAAACTGATGAGGTCGAGCCCCATGAGTAGAGTCTCCAGTTGTGATCGCCAGGCACTGAAGTTCGTGGGATTCAGCTTGAGGGGCAGCTGGGCTACATGATTGAATGTGACGATGACATCTTCTTTTGGAGAGGCTGAAGTGGCAGCGAAAACAGTAGATTCTGGCATAGTGGTGATAAGATAGAGCTAAGACCATCCACAACGGCTTTCAGAAGCCTATTTCATTGTGAGGTGGCATCATTACATAGCTATTTCATAGATGTGGTCCATGGTTTCAACAATGAAATCTTCCATTTAGTGAAATAGGAATAGATGGTGGGGTAAACTAGCAGGTCCCGTATCCACTTTTGCCAATTTTTTTTTTTATACTTTTGTATGGTTGGAACATTTAGTTAAGACTAAAGATTAAACTAAAATATCAATTGGGGCCACCATATGATATAGAAAGTGGAATGTCATGGGTTAATTGCATGGTTGGTCACTGAGATTACAAAAAACGTTCACGTTTGGTCACTGGAAATATTTAAATCCAATCTTGGTCACTCAAATTATTTAAATGGTTCAAGTTTGGTCACTCTCCGTCCATTTCCGTTAACTCTAGCTTACGTGGCAGTCAACTTTCATAGTTGACCGTTAAATATGTGACGTGGCAATTAAAAAATTATTAAAAATAAAAAAAAATCTTTTACATTTTCCACCTCATTATTACATTAATTAAAAAACAAAAAAATATATTTTGGCTGGAAGACCTCTTGCATCTCACCTTGCCGATCTGCGGTGCCGGAGTTGTGAAAGGGTTCGAAGGGAAGCAGCAGTTTCAGCTTCTCGGCGGCGGTGCTAACTCTGTCGCCGGCGGCTACACGAAAGGAGACGACCTTGGTGGTGAAATCGTCGGCACTTTCGTCCTTGTCTACACCGTGTTCTCTGCCACCGACGCCAATCAGCAGGGCAGTATTCGAAACGACACCGCGTTGCAGCTGATGTACAGAATCGATGTCGCCGGGCAAGGTATCTCTCCCGACGGCGGCACCGGGATGTATCGGCAATGGAGCCCCGACGATAAATACCTCAACATCGATCCTCCTCCGAGCTCTGTTTACTACAATGACTCGGTTCCCCTGAACTCCATTTACAGTAACGACTCGATTCAGCTGCAGTACAGAAACGAGATCCATAAGCTCGTCGCGCCGGCGACCGTTTACAAAACTGCCCGGGGGATGTCGAACATCAGCGAATTGAACCTGCAGTACAATCTCACATGGAGTTTCCCCGTCGATCCTTCGTTTACATACTTTGTTCGGCCCCATTTTTGTGAGATTCAGCCACCTATCAACGGCCAGGATAACAGGGCTTTCTGGATCTACATCGCAAATCGAACCACTGGGTCTTATACGGATGTGATTCAAAAAGTCAGCGGGAATGGATTCACCATGTTCAAAGACTACTTGGTGAGAATTGAAGCTGAGGAAGAGAAGAAGCAATTGCCCTTGTTCGTTGCTCTGCATCCTTTCCCAGATAACAGCGCCCACTACAATTCGATTCTGAACGGAGCTGAGATCTACAAATTGAGCCGGTCGGGTAGTTTGGCCGGACCGAATCCCGACCGCCCACCCAACCCATCGTCGCCGGATCCGTCTTCCTCCTCCTCGACTTCCAGCCCGACTAGATTAATCCTCATTGTCGCCGGCGGCGTCGTGTTAGGTCTCGCCGTGGTCTCTCTCCTGCTACTCTTCATCTTACGGCGGACGCGGAAATCCAAATCCTCATCGAATTACATCGGCGCCGGATCGGCTTCCAAATCAATGCTACCATACTCTTCCTTCGCATCAACCAACCAGACATCCACCTCAAATCTCCCCTCGGAACTTTGCCGCCGATTCTCTCTCTCGGAGATGAAATCCGCAACGAGAGGCTTCGACGACAACTTCATCATCGGAGTGGGAGGCTTCGGCGACGTGTACAAGGGGCTGATCAACTCATACGTTGAAATTCGCCGACGATAGAGTTAGCACCGCCGCCGAGAAGCTGAAATTGCTGCTTCCCTTCGAACCCTTTCACAACTCCGGCACCGCAGATCGGCAAGGTGAGATGCGAGAGGTCTTCCAGCCAAAATATATTTTTTTTGTTTTTTAATTAATGTAATAATGAGGTGGAAAATGTAAAAGATTATTTTTTTTATTTTTAATAATTTTTTAATTGCCACGTCATATATTTAACGGTCAACTATGAAAGTTGACTGCCACGTAACCTAGAGTTAACGGAAATGAACGGAGAGTGACCAAACTTGAACCAGTTAAATAATTTGAGTGACCAAGATTGGATTTAAATATTTCCAGTGACCAAACGTGAACGTTTTTTGTAATCTCAGTGACCAACCATGTAATTAACCCGGAATGTCAATGATGTAGAGAAAATGAAATAGGTATCTAGTGGAATTGTAAAAGTGTTGAGGTGGCAGTAGGGGCCACATATGAAATAGAAATTGTATTTCATGGATGTGAATGGTCTAAGGCACAAATTGAAAATGGGAGATGATGGTGAGTCGGATCTAGCTGAACATTGCTAGCTCTGATACCATGTTAGGAATATTGCAGAGAGAATTTGTTGTAGAAAACTGAACGTAATCTGTATTGATATCTCTGTCAACTAATATACATGTAAACTCTTTAAAAATAAAAAGAGTTATTAAAATAAAATGTTACAATTAGCTGAAACTAATACTAGCAGTCTAACACCATACTAACAAATTAGTTGTTAACACCTAATCTTGGACATCTAGTCATTAGTCAACCTCAAATGAAAATATCATCAAAATTCAAAACACAAAATCTCGAGCCACAAATATGATTTTCGAAAAGTTGGTGCTACAAACGCTAAATTTGGACGAAGTTGAGCCCTCTTGCGATATTAACCATTTTATTCAACAAATAAAAAATGTAAAATGGGGCCGTTGTGGCGCCAAAATCGTGACTCAAAATCTGTACGTTTTATTTGGAAAAGGGATTCTGTCATAAATGAGAAAAAAGAATAATCGGGATCTTCCCTCTCATCAAAACTGCGAACAAAAATCCGCTGCCCAGTAATCAGCCGCCCAACTCCAGTCCCACTGACGACAAGGAGCGCCTATAACGCTCCCCCTGGAATTCTAGGGTTTCGTGCTCCATTTCCTTTCTTTCACTCCCAATTTCCCCTACTCCAGACTCTCCATTCTCCAAATCAGGCGTCATTCCTCCGACAATGACGACGTCGCCCGCTCTCGTCTCTCCCTCTCGGACCACTTGCGCCTCTCTCCTTCGCCAGTTGCAGGTTCTCTCTCTCTCTCTCTCTCTCTCTCTCCGGCGGCTATTGTAGTCAAAATTCCTGCGCTATCGTTTCCGCTTTGTCACAATGGCTATCTCTGTTCCTGCTAAAAGATGGATTCCAGTTTGCCTTTGTCTCAGTACTGTAATTAGCGTCGAAATAAGTTGTTTCGCCCCCCTCTCTGGCTCCGTTGATAATTAGGCCTACTTTTGGGTCGCCAAGGGGTCAATTCGCTCGATCTTGTGTCTGAGATGTCAGATTTGAGCTTGATTCTAACTTCTCTTTTTGGCTGACTCTGATGAAATGTGTTGTTTCGAAGGTAATATGGGATGAAATAGGGGAGGAGGACGGGGATAGGGACAGGATGCTTCAGCAACTTGAACACGAGTGCCTTGATATCTACCGGAGAAAAGTCGACTCCAGCAGGAAGCACAAAGCTGAGTTGGCTCAGTCGTTGGCTGACGGAGAAACTGAAATTGGCGTCCTTGTTTCTGCTCTTGGGGAAACTGCCTCATTTCCTCGGGTTTGTTTGCCTTGCACAGTACCTCCAATAACTTTGTACTCACTGTTGCAGCTTTGTTATTGTTCTCATTCGGGGGTTTTGATTTTTGTCCATTGAAGAGCGTAAAGGGCTCTTTGAAGCAGCAGTTATCCGCCCTCAAACCTGCTTTGCAAGACTTGAGGCAGCGGAAACAAGCACGGATGAGCGAGTTTCATAAGACTCAGTTGCAGATTGCTCAAATCTGTGCGGAAATAGCAGGAAATGATATCAACACTGTTGATCCGAAAATTGATGAACGTGATTTGACTGTGAAGAAATTGGGCGAACTCAAGTCACACCTCAACGAACTTCAAACTGAAAAGGTTCTAAAGTTCACTATTTCCTTGACTTGTCATTTTTTCCTAGTTTCGCTTCATGTTCACAATTCTCGCCTTGTCTGATTTTCAGAAGCTGCGTCTGCATAAGGTCAGCAGCTCTCTCGGCAAAATTCACGAGTTGTCAGTTGTAATGTCAATTGATTTCTCCAACACTGTTGCTGATATACATCCCAGCTTAAGTGATCATATTCAGTCAAAGAGCATAAGCAATGACACACTAGCTCGATTAACTAGTGTGATTCAATCATTAAGGCAAGAGAAGCTGGATAGGCTACATAAGGTGATATGCTGATGAGCTTGCTTATTATTCCTTTCTGGTTCTTGTGCCCTCTTTTGTATATAAATGATCTCAGAGAGAATTGAAGTACTTACATGAAAATAATGCTAATGAAAGCACTAGGACTTGAGTGATCTGACTACCATTCATGCGTAGACCTTGGGTCTTGCTGTTCTCATTTCTGATATTGACTTATCAGCTGAATTTTCACTCGGAAGCATTTCTATATAATTGCGAAGCAACCAATTAAAGGTTACAAGCTCAGGCTTCCATTTCCTCTTTGTAAAGTAGCTTGTTGTTTTTTTATGTTATTCCTAATACCAAGTTCTTGTGCTATGAAGAAGTTTGGTATTGCTCTTATATATTTTTATTATTCCTTAATAAGATAAATGAGGTAGGTTCTTAAGTTAGCTAGTGTCTAAAAATGGTACAAGTATGGCTTGGTTTTCTTTTACGAGGTCTTGCTTCTGATAATTTCCTTCAATTTGTTTTTGGCATGCATCTTTCATTACTGAAGCTTCAAGATCTTGGGAAGACACTAATGGGGCTATGGGATCTTATGGACACAAATGTAGAGGAACAAGGAAAATTTGATCATGTTACTTCACTAATTTCTTCCTCATTGGATGAGGCATCAAGACAAGGCTGCCTTGCACTTGATGTCATTGAGCAGGTACAGGAACTGTCTCTTCTTGCCTATCATTTTAGGATTTACCATAGTGTGCTCTTCTTTTTTGTTGAAAATTTACAACATTGCTGCTGCAATTAGACTGAGGTTGAAGTTGAGAGATTGAATGCTCTCAAAGCCGGCAAGATGAAAGAGTTGGTATTGAAAAGACAAAATGAGCTGGAAGCAATATACATAGATGTTCATATGGAGATAGATGCTGATGCAGCACGGCGGACTCTTATCAACCTAATTGAATCCGGTAATCAGAAAGTTTGGTTCAGTTTGCTACTGCTTGCACGTGTTTCAATTTGATACATACATATATGATAATCACTGTTATGAAAACTCTTTAGTTGATGGTCTAGAGTGAGATTTTGGCAATTAACGGTTGTGCCTTCCTGTACTATTTTCATATATTATGCTTGCACAGGAAATGTTGAGCTCTCTGATCTGCTCTCCAGTATGGACAACCAGATAACAATTGCCAAAGAGCTATCACTGAGCCGGAAGGAGGTTTTGGACAAGGTAGAGAAATGGAAACATGCTTATGAGGAAGAAAAGTGGCTTGAAGACTATGAAAAGGTAATCTCTGAAATATATAGGTTATCCTAAATGTAGTTTTAGTCAGTAAAATACGAATCTGCACTTCCCCCCATCGTGAATATGATTGACGGGCAATTTATTTTAGCATTTATATTTTTGTACATTTAGGTCCTTTATGAGAGGTATTGTTATCCATTCTGTCTTGTCTATAGATCATTCCCACATGCTAAAATTATAAACATCTAGGAAGCAGTTCTGTGGTTCTGAAATGATTGATTGTACTCATTGTTCCCTTGGACGGTATTCCTCTGTTGAGATTCAGTTTTTGTTAATTTTATCAAATATGGTGGTAGGTTATCAAATGTGGGGGTAGGATGGTACAACTCATAACTTGAAGAATACAAAGGTCCATGGTTGGGGTAGTTTTCAGCAAGTATTGTTGCTTGGCGTGAGACATGATGTTTATGTTCTGCAAGATGAAGGGTATCATAGTTGTGGTGTCAATTCATCAATCTTAACCCATAGCCACTAGTCATCCCCATTTTGTTTACTGGATTGTTTTCATGACCTTTCCCACAGGTTGTGACCGGCGTTCCTTGTATCTTTTATTAGCTGACTCATGTGTTATCGGTTGGTTGATTCTACGTTTGTGATCTCAACAACATGCCAGTAGTTGCTCATTTAACTGAATGCTGTTGCTCTTGAGTGTTAAACTATGATGTTCCTTCTTTCTTTCAAATTATGTATGTTTCTACTTGTTCCAATCCTGCAGTGTATACTTGTTCCTGTAACCCTCTACATCACTACATGAAGGATTCAGGGCTGTTGGCAACTGTTGTGCCTGGTGCTGTGCAACTTTATCTTACCAAAGTCTGAGAGTTTATATTTTCTTGAGTCAGCAAACATTAGCAACTTTGGGTAGAAACATATGCTTGTTTCTTTATTTGTTTAATTTATTGGTTTGCAGACCATTGTACCCTGAAGTGGAAATCTTGAGTCTTTCCATTTATGCAACTTCATACTGAAGTTTGTCTGAAATTGGTATTGTGGGTGAATAAGCATCGCATTGTTCATTTTGTCAGGATGAAAATCGGTACAGTGCAGGGAGAGGTGCGCATAAAAATTTGAAACGTGCAGAGAAGGCAAGAATTCTAGTCAGCAAAATACCATGTGAGCTAGCAACTAATTCCTGTTTATAAAATGACTAATTTATATGTTTTCACATCACCAACTGTGGTGTCTACGGCCATCTTCGGATAAATGGTTCATTGCATTGGATGGATAACTGTTGAACCATGACAAATCTTGCGTGTAGCAGCAACGTTTTTCATTTGTATGTTTAACTGCCTCTTCAAGAATTGATCCAACTCTCATTACTCTGCAAATATGTCACCCAGCTATGGTTGAGAATTTGACTTCAAAAGTGAAAGCCTGGGAATTGGAGCGAGGCATTTCTTTCCAGTATGACAAGGTAAACGCACGATTCTCTTGCTGTCTGCATCGGTGTGAACAATACATATACATAGTGTACTGGAGTTTCCTAACATGTATTCACAAACCCTCAGGCTCCCCTGTTACGGATGTTGGAGGAATATACTGCAATGAGGCACGAAAGAGAAGACGCGAGGCGACGCACAAAGGTATGGTCACTTAAATTTCCTTTCACTTGTGATTTAACCAAGGCAATTATGCAACAAGAGAACATCCATATAGAAGCTTCTGAATCCATAGCGTTTACCTCAGTTTAACCATTCGTGGCCTTTTGTCTACTAAACAAATTCGACTGCACCTGCTAAATTACTCGACTTTTTTCTATTCGATCCTGGAGTTGGAACTTTGGGTTTGTGAAAGCATATCAGAATCTGAAGTCAGATGCCACAATTTCCCTATTGCACATTTTTTGCAGGAGCACAGGCGTGTACAAGAGCAGATGGCAGCTGAGCAAGAGGCAATTTATGGGTCGCGGCCCAAGAAACCACTGGGCCAAAGCACCGCCAACAACACTATGGTCGGGACACCCATGGGACGCCGTGGGCCCACCTCATTGGGCCGTCAAAACGCACCTTCTGCTGGAAAGGAGCGCAGAGAGAGCCGGTACCATAACGTGGCGCCTATCAACTATGTGGCCCTTCCAAAAGACGACCACTCCGTCTCTCGTGGTGCCTAGCCCACCCGGCCCCAGCCAGCCAGGGTCAAACGCAAACAAAGTTGCTGGTTTGTAAAAACCTGTAAAAATGTCCTTTTGCTGTCAAAGAATGACTTTTATGACAAGAATGCGATTCTTGCCCTGACCTTCACTGTCAAAGAATAGTAGGGTTAATGTAGAGTAAAAGTAACACCATTAGTTTAAATGGCGAGATTAAAGCGTGCTATATGTCATACCAATGAACTCTAATTACCATTTGTCTATTCATACATTTGATACTGGCGTAAAATATATATTGTGGATTTTTCTCCAGAAATACCACTATTAAAAAACATTCTAAGAATACCATCTAACCCGGAATAATTCCAGGAATACCATCATTTAATGAAGACCGCTTGGGAAAGGTGCGGTTTAGATACGAACCGCTTGGGGAAGGCGCGGTTTCCATTAGGGCGGCCGACAAAACGCGTGGCAACGTGGCGGTCCGCAGAACCGTCGGATGAAGGCGCGATCTGACAAAAGAACTCTTGACAGCTCACCGATCCGCGTCTGGGATAGGGAATCACTCCTTTGAAGCGTGTTTTGCATTTGAAAAACGTAATCCGTTGGCGGAGAGAGCGTTTGTGTTTGGTGTAAAATGACCAAACCGCCCCCAGCATGTGGTCTGTGTGCTATAAAACCCCCCTCTCCTTCATTCTTCACGCCAAAACTCATTCTTCTTCTCTCTCTAAGATTATCTCTCTATCCTTCCCCCTCTCCACCAAAAAAACCTATGAAATAGTGGCCTGTTGGTAGCGGCTAAGTCCAAACTGTCATAAGAAAGCATTTCTTTGATTTTTCCTTCAAAATATGCCGAAACTCTATTCGGCTTCCTGAAAAAATGGTTGATTGGTTCGAAGAAGAGAGTATTTATTATGATGACTATCAAGCGGTACGTACTCATTTTACCAAAATTTTGTTGTTGTTATAATTTTTTATTTAATCTATATACTAATAATTGTTGTTATGCTATCGTAGGTTGGGGAGGACGTGGATTTATACAATCAAAGATATTATCTTGATCAAGGACCGATTGATCCATCCGTGCTATAAGACCAACCTAACCACCGTTCAAGGGATGTTTGGAACGATCACAACCATTTTTATTTTGTTAACGTAAGTTAGTGGTTTGTAAAATAAATTTGTTAATTGTTAATTGTATTAATGATTTTCAGTTATTTAAGATAATATAATGTGCCACTTACTTAGACTCTTTACGAATAGATGCATGTCTATGGAAATGAGGTCTTAAGCGATCATCATGATCCTCCCATTTCATAAGAAAATTAGGTTTAAAGCGATCCTCAGATCCCCCCCTTTTTCTGTAAAAAAGGCTGTGTTTCTAAAGAGATGTATACATCTCCTACGAGTCTAATGAGTGTACTTGTATTGCTTTAAATTATTGAAAACAATCAATACGATTTACAAAATAATATAATGGATTTATGTGTATGTGTACAAAATTAATTTTATTTAATTATTGAAAATGCTATTCATTTTAGGTAATTGAATATTTTTGTTTTACGAATTTATGTATATATGTTGGAAAAACCTTGATTTTGTTAATTTATATTGTAATATATAATTGATTTATATATTTCTAAATAATAAACTTATGGTGAAAGTTAAATTCTTCACTAGGATGCACACCATATAGTTCGCTATAGGAGTACGAGCAATGTGCTCACATGGAACGATGCCATCTTGTGCTTTCTAAGAAGAGCAAGGTTGGATTCGATGAAGCACTTTGTAGGGATAAAGATTGACCGCCAACTCATTACATCATTGTTGGAGAGATGGCGAAAAGAGACGCACAACTTCAACTTTCGTGAAGGCGAGTGCACCATCACACTGAAGGACATCGCCATCCTAATCGATTTTCCCATCAATGGTGATGTTGTGTGTGTGGACAATCATCCCCCACCTTCAGATGTTGAAGAGATGAGCGGTTGGCAGTATTTGCTATGGACCACCTTGGCTTTGTTGGTGCCAGAAAAGGGACAAGGAGAAGATGAGGAGGATGGTAATGCACCATTGTGGAAGCGCCAAATATCCATCACTTGGTTGACAGCAGAGATCAAGAGGAAGCAAGACCCTGATTTTGAAGGCATTCCCCTCACAGAGGAAAGTGAGGAGGTGGAAAAGGAAATTTATGCTCGTGTCTACCTCATCGGCATGATCGGAGGAGTGTTCTTCCCCAAAAAAATTCAACAACTTAATCAACAATGGATGGTTGAAGATCCTCCTTGGTCATTGAGAGGCTATGTGGAACCTGAACTGGGCATCCGTTTTCCTAGCTTATATCTATTGTTCCCTTTGTAATGCAACTCCGAGAGCGGTGAAAGAGATTGATGGGGTGATGTTCATTGTCCAATATTGGGCTTTGGAGCATCTTCCATGGATTGTGTCGGTCGCAGAATCCGACAAGGAATGGGGACCCGACCATTCCCATAGACTCCAAACTTATTGTTGTAGGTAAACTTCTCCTACCCACTCATACCAATGGTTTTTTTGTTGTTGTACTTCATGATTTGATAGTACAATAGTTAGTTCGATATAACATTGTATGATTGTCCTCATGAATAAGGTGGATTGGTCAAACAACATGAGACAACCTCATGGAGCACAAGCTGGAAGAGTATCGTAGGAGGCTGGATCACTTTTGAGCAGCAGAGGTAACCATTATAATACATCTACTTCCTTTGCTATTTCGAAGTGCATTATTATATTTATTGAATGGTTAAATTTGGTCCTCTCCTTTGTAGATCATATTCGATCCGTACCCTGACAACGTCGTTCACCATCACGTCCACAAATTCCCGTTGCATCCCGGTCAATGGTGCACGCGAGCCCCACTCATTTGTCACCATATTATGGAGTGGCACTTGCCGGATCGATGCTTACGGAAATTTGGTCGTGAGCAATGCTTACCCTTAGAGGTCCCCTCAAGTCAAAAGGCGTACCACAAGAAAGATGACGACAAGGTGTTTGTGATTGGCCGCACAAGTTGAGGGACTTCATCGAGCGTGGAACCATAAGCAAGATGAAGAAATTGTCACTCCAACAGTTATGGGGAGGATGGGGTATCATGACCCATACCTGGAAAAGTACCAAAGACAATCGGTCCGGTACATGACGCCAAAAGGTGTGGCGGACGGTGCTTTGGTTAGTAATTTCGTGGAATCAATTCATTTTTATTTACTTTTAGCAACATATTAGTAGTTATGCATATCATTACTTTTAGTTGCATAACTTTGTTAATTGGTGTGGTTTAGGTTGATGGACTCGAGTGTATTCACACTATAGCCTGTACTGTGGATTCTTTAGGGCGCTGAGATATGGGGCTCATTCGTAAGATAACGAACGGTCTCCTTGGCTGTGTTATAGTGCGTGGGCCTGATCATCATAAATACATGCCGATGCTCTTTGCTCCTACACCTCGGGTATCTATTGTTGTCCCCAACCCGCCACCGCCATACGAAAGAAGACAAAACAAGAGCACAAGGGACTGACCTCACGTGCCCGAGGTCAAGCAGATTGAGGCGTGGCGTGTGCCTCCTCCTTTGGAGGTGTACCACGATGGCAGACTGAGTACTCACCACGATGGCGGACCGAGTACTCACTATGATCCCCTCCCAATTACCTACTACGACCCCCGCTCAAGTACTTGGCACGATCTTCATTCGAGTACTTACTACGATCCCCACCAGAGTACTTGACACGATCCTCATTTGAGTACTTACTACGATCCCCGCCTGAGTACTTACCACGATGGCACATCCTCGAGTACTTGGCATGATGGTTCCTCCTCGATTGCCCACCAAGACTTCAATCCTTTGAATCGACCTCATCATCAATGGCCTACCACTCCCCACCGTATGAGTGTGGATGTCCCTCGTTGGAACATGGAAGAGCCACCTATCACGGACCGATGTCGCCATAGCATGGACCAAGATTCTGAGGCCCAATTGGTCCAGGACAATTTCGTTTATCATGTCCTGGAACTTTGTCTATGAAACAACGTTGTGGGCCTCGCGGTGGTCTTCCACTTTGATCCATCTTGTTAGGAATCCTCTTTACCCTCGGCCGACCCGATTCACGACTCTGTCTGAACGATGGGATGATCAAATTTCCTTAATACACTGGCCAGTAAGCTTCATCCGATAATGCACGGAAACTCCTTCCATAGCACCTTTTGAGTGACTCGATGTTGAAGAAAGGACTCACGAAGTGATGGGGTCTTTTCTCCTGTACTTGATTACGACCATTGCATGAGAACAATGTCTTCCTCTCCTCTGATACTTCTGGCAGGAGCACTCTCCTTGTTTTGTCCTGAAGTTGACCTTGATTTCATGCCGATGCCCCCCACGTCTACCATCCGAATAGTTCCTGGTATCGACCGAATACTCGCCAGCATCTCGATTTATAACGGTGACCCTATGCCGACTGCTCTTCTAATTGTCTTTGTCCATTATTTATGTGGCTTTATTAGAATAATCCTTACCGTGTGCCTCATTCGTCTTTGCCCAGTGGATTCGATTTACAAACCATTGGTTCGTTTTCCAGAATGTCATCTCAACAATGGCAGAGATTGGCAGTGCACGAACCCCCTTGTAGACGTTGTTGATACTCTCACTTGAGTTCGTTGTGGCAATAGCCCTCCTGGTACCTTCGTCCTTATGAAAAGCCCACATGGTTAGGTCATGTCTATCCAGCCACTGCGCAACATCAGGGCATAGCTCATGGATCTTCTACAGCTTCTCTTTGAATTTCTTCTCTTAGTAGGCAACAACCGAGGAATATACAGAAAACGCGTAAGTTAGTGTAAATTCATTCTACCCCGGCACAGTAATTCATATAGGTAATTTTCAATAATTTAAAGCAATATAGGTACTCTCGTTAGACTCGTAGGAGAGGTATACATCTCCTTAGAAACACAACCTTTTTAACAGAAAAAGGGGGGATTCGAAGATCGCTTAATACTTGATTTTCCCAAGAAATGGGAGGATCTTGATCACTTAAGACCCCACTTCCTTAGACGTGCATCAGACCTGGCAATCAGGT